GCAATACAGGGTTTCTGTGTCTGTGAGTGAGTGTTATGAATATGAAATAGTTTTATGGAAATTGACGTAGTTTTATCCCAAATTATGAAACATTTCACAAGGTTAAAAAACAAGTTATGATGCTAAGTGCAGTCAATCTCTTGTGCAAAAAAAAAATTGCTTCACAATGTCATCCTGTGATGATGTTGCATTTAAAATTTCAAAGGAATTAAAAAATTCAAATATTGGACAAAGAAATTCAAATCTAAATTTCGTTGAAGGAGAAGTACAAAAATTCTAATAATAATAATAATAATAATAATACATGTATGTTTTTGTTTGCGTACATATGTACATTGTCATGCATACATGTACATGTACATTGTCATGTAAAAAGCAATTCTTCAAAGCCTGTATTGTTTCACATGCACTCATTACATTAGACATGTTTATGTAACTGGCTGTACATAGTAAACAATGTAAACATTTCCAATTGGATATGTAAGGGACCAGTCCGAAAGGGACATTCTTATAATGTACTGCTTTCGTTGTGCACTTAAAACTATACTCTGGGTAGATATAATTGTCAATCAAAATACATTGCTAGATATGTGAGATTTTGGTCATAATGATTCCCAAAGTACATTGAAATGACCTGTCAAAAAAACGAAATGCATTAAAATGAATTGCTTGGTTGCAAATTGAAAAGCTTATGTAATGAAGTTCTAGTTTTCAAAATTATTTTTCTTGTTAGTTACTGGTATAATTGTTTCTCATACTTGATTGCTACAATTATACCTTGTGAATAGTACCTTTCCATTAAAAGTAGACATGTGTATTTGTGACGGATAGATATCATACACTTTACCATACCACTCCAACATTGTCTGAAATATTGAGAATTGATGAACATTTGGGGATTGCGATGGAGTTTATTGATGTTCAAGTCAGTTCTTTTTCCCCCTGAGCTCATGTTTTAATTCCTTGATTTCATACATATTTATTCCATTAATTTTTCCGGTATCCTGGTTGTTTTCCATTTTTTCCCCTGTATCTTTCATGCTTTCCTTTTTTGTAATCACTCATCAGATTTTTCACTGTGGGGTAACCAATTTTAAAAATTCATCCTTCTCTTACTTCAACAATTTTCATATTTACCACTGTTTTGAAAAAAGGTATCTTGAGTTTCATATCATGTTAGTTTATTAGTTGTATGTACAAATTATTTATTTATTTGCTTTGTGATAAGACAAGTAATATAGATTAGTATTTAACAAAGCCTGTTTTTGGAATTTTGTGTGGCTGTACAAAAAAAACTAGATTAACATTGTGGTATTTTAAACTTATATTTAATGACGGGACAAATTCTGAATGGAACTGGAACAATATTAAATATGTTCAGGAAAATTTTAGACCTCGTTCCAATATCACAAAATTTAGAACAGTTCTGTGAATTATACTGATTTAGATCTAGACTGAACATAGTTTTGATTCTTCAGAAATCCTCAGAAATTGTTGTAATTTGCAGGATCATAGAACCAGAACCTAAGTTCATGACTCTGCTTACCACAGAAGTCCGCACTTACAATCACAATTTGCTAACCGTCCTAGCATAAAAATGCTGTGCTAACACTGTCAACCCGTGAAATATGCTTAGCATAAGCACGGAGTTTTCTGCTATGGTAAGCAGGGATTTTTCGCTAACAGTTAGTAGAGCCATGAAAGTGGGCCCAGGTGTAGTGACAACACACGAGCAATACAGGTACATGTACACACATTTCTTGACCACTGAAAAATTATGCGTTAAAAATATTCACCAGCCAAAATATGGGATGTAATATTTTAAAATGTATGATTTGGCTGGTGCTCTTGTTGCCAAGACAAAAAAAAAAGCATGAAGCGTCAATCTCTGGTAGACACATTTGTTAAAGGCCCTGTTTTTGTGGGCTTTCGACCAGAATAGAGTTGCATATTTAGTGAGAATTTGCCCGTAACTGTATCTTGAAAATACATGTATGCATATAGATAGTCCTTCCCTTGCAACAGGTGTGTCAAAAACCTGTAATGGGACATTTTAACATAAACCCAGCTAATTTTCAATATCCAATCAGTATTAAATGTTACCAAATGATATGTGCGACACTAATGTTAGTCTGGGTCCTAGAACAGATTTGAATTTGTATTCCCCTATTTTGCAGCCAGTCCCGTGACAAATGCAGTAAAAGTTCCTGCGGCGGTGGAGGTCTCTACCACCAAGATGAATCAAATCCAATATTGGCAGCACTACCCTGGAAAGTCTGGGCATATACATGTACCTCATGCGCATGCATTAGCTTGAATACAGCACGTGTGAGGTATGCTCGGAATTTCCTGGATAGCGCTGCCAAAATTACCAAGACTAAATTTGATTCATTGTGTTGACAGCGACCTCGCTTGTCACTGACCGGCTGTATAAGGAAAGTAAAATTCAAATCCAGTCTTGCACCAAGACTACACTAATGTCTGCTTTGTTGACCATGTGGATATAGAGTAGCAATTACTAGATGTACATAATGTATTTTGACTGCATTTTTAGTTCAGGTTTTTTTTGGTTCAGTCTTCTTTGGTATTGTTTTGGAGCTGTTAATACTCTTTAGGTTAACTATAGACGAGGGTTTCATCTATGATGTGGAATATGTATATAATATTGTTAGTCCAGAGTAAAATGTACTGCTTCACTTGCAACACGATGACTGGTGTGTTTCTGTTTTTGTTTTGTTGCTTTTTCACTTGTTTGAGAAATGTACAGAAGATATACATGTATACGCCTTTTAGTTATTCGGAAGAAAATGAGGCTATTTCCAAAAGACGATATCCATTTGAAAATGGAACCCATTTAAAAAAAAAAATAGTATAAAACAGCTGTTTCTACCCTTCAGTTTTTCATTTTATTGCTTGTTTAAATTGTGTTTAACTATGTAAAAAACGTCAAAACTGACTTTAGGCAGCCAGGAGAGAGTGGGATTCTAAAAGGTAACAAAATGGGGATTATCACGTTTTGGATATGAACTCTTCATACACTCGACCAAAAAAGAAGGTCCCCCCCCCCCCTTCCAATACTCAAAAACTACTGAGCACATCTCGCTCAAATAACGACCAATTCCTTAGCAATCCAGCCATACTCTTTGTTTGGCCCAAAACAGTGATGTGTTCGAATTTATGCAATTTATGACAAATAATACCGAAAACAGTTGCACTTCTGTATACGTGCAAGTAGCATTCGTCATACATTGCATAATTTGGTACACATTATCACTGTTCTTGGCCAAACAAAGAGTATGGCTGGATTGCTAAAGAATTTCAGTCATAATTTGAGCAGGATGTGTCCAGTAGTTTTTGAGTTAGACAAAAAAGTATTAAGGGGGGACTTTCTTTTTTTTGGTTGAGTGTATAAAGAAGAATATCAAAATTAAGGAAAACACTTCAAGAACTCGTAAAATCCAATCACATTATTTTATAGCAATGCCAACATTGTTTTATTGCCCAACAAACGACAGCCTAAATATGTACATATATAATTTATTTTATCTGCACACTTTCTACAAACATAACTTTCATATTTACAGCAGACAACGACTTAAAAAACAAACAAAATTACAGCAGAATTTCAAGTCGGCCTATATTAATTGGCCTATATCAATATATGAGGGGAAATATTACTTTCGAAGAAAGAAAATGGGTTAAGTCCATTCATGTTTAACAGTTGTCACTGAAAAAAAAAAAGAATTTTTTAATAAAGAAACCACAAAAAAATTCTATACCCTAAAAATATTCGGTCTACATGTAAATCATCACTAGCCAAATTATGTTTCAATCAAAAATATTCATATGTAATTCTTTGAATTTACATGACAACACAAATACTGACTTGTAAGCAAATTCAATGGACGTTATCACGAAAAAAAATAACTTAAATATTGCCTCAAAGTTTGGGCATCGTCCAAACAAAACAGTAAAATGTGAATAACACATTTGTTTCAGTAAAGATAACACAAATGTAAACGTGACAACCCCCCCCCCCCCTCTCTCGCTGACAAATTCAACTCAGCTATCCCAGCAGTCAAAATCAATCAAGACTGGTTTCAACAGTTGAGAGCTCCCAGCCTACATAAAGCAGGATTGACTGGCTGTGACTGTTTATGTAACTTGATACAGCTTTGCCTTGACAGTAGGTGATTGATAAGCTGGCTGTACCTACAGTTACTTGTTTTTGTCTGTTGATGGACTTTGACTAGTCACAGTGTTTGCTCAAAGATATGATCCGACTGTTGGTGACTAGCCGGTGTGTAAAGGCATGGCAGGGGAAGAGGATTGATTTTTTGACTGTTTGTGACTGTTCAGACAGCAGGAGGGTTACACCCACATTCATTAATACCTGGGACTGTTAACCTTTTCCTATTGGTCGAGAGCCTGTCACGTGGGTGTTTTAAAATATCAATGTTTGAAAACAATGGCTAGACCCAGTGTTTCGCTCTGCGTGCGTGCAGTACGCACTGCCGTGCTGGCTACAACCGAGGGCTTGAAAACCACTGATATGGTCTCCATATGAGGACAGATGTTGAGAACACTACGCGTGCTGCACACACTGTAGAAATAGCTGGAACACGGGGCATTAATGAGGGAATAAATGAATGCTTGGACGGTGCTAAACACTATGTTTAAGACTGGTTGGAGTCTGGAATGCTGATAGTGACACTGGAAAAGTGTTAGACAAGCCAGCCATGTCTTTATCATCCGTTTAAGACCGGCCATGTGACGGGCTCTCAACCAATGGGTAAGCTGTAGGTACTTATAAATGGCATCGATTTTCAATTCCGTACTCCCCTGTTACCCCCTTACATCCCCCCCTCCACTGCCAACCTGTCACACATACAACACAAAGCATTCACTTTATAACCCGTATAAACATAAACATAACAGCTTTTGTACTGCACTGAAAGAGGGTGTTTAAAAAAAATCATACTCTTTGCTACTCCAAGTACAAAAAAAGGCACTAAAGCTTCTGAAACTGCTAATGGACGATCTTGAAAAGATTTTGGGGCATTTAAAGTCGTTTTGCCCTTTTGTGTTTTCAACACAAATCTACATTTTGAAGAAGGCACTAAATACTAGACAGCACAGTAGACATCTACTTATTTCACACACCATAAAATCTAGTTGTCCTCAATGTTAAAATGACAGGCACTACTGCAGCATTACACCTGCTGCATGTCAACAGCAATGTATGGGCGGCCCCAGGGGTCATTTCTTGACCAGCTGTTTCCGCTGCTGTTCCAGTAAGGACTCCAGGTGGTCAGCCCTCTTGACCGCCGCTGCGTGCTGCTGTCTCAGCTGGCTGACCGTCTCCTCTTTCTTGACGATGGCCTGCTTGACCCTGGGGGAGTTAAAGAGGAAAAGAGGAAACAAATAATGAGCCTCCTGAATCTCCAGGAATACACACACTGCATGCATGCACCACACCACACAAACCCACCTCATGTAAACAACCTGCATCTTTAATTCCACATCAAACATCCATCAAAACTCCATTGAATCCAACAACCTTTGTAAACCTCACCAACATAAAACTACTTAACCTCATCACGCACACACCTCTTGTGCACCTCCCATACTCATCACACAAACCCACCTCAAATGTTAACTGAATCCTCAACCTCTGTGAACCTCAGCAAACCCACCTTTTGTGCGCCTCCTGCACCTCTTCTTGCACGTGGTACCTCTCGGCTCTCAACCGAATCCATCATGCTCTAGTAAACCTCAGAAACCCACTTCCTGTGCACCTCCTGCACCTCTTCTCCATTGAATCAATAAACCTCACTTGAACCTCATCACTATACGATATTGAGTAACAACAAATCCTCATCCCAAAAACCCACCTCTTGTGCATCTCCTCAACCTCTTTACTGACTCATTGAACCTCAATTGAACCTCACCACCATGAGATCATAAGTACCAACAGAACCTCATCCCAGAAAACCTACCTCTTGTGCACCTCTTCTCCACTGAATCAATCAACCTCACTTGAACCTCATCACCATAAAATATTGAGTAACCTCTTGTGCATCTCCTCAACCTCTTCAGTGACATACTGAGTACCAGTATCAATCAATCTCATTTGAACCTCATTTGAACCTCATCCCAGAAACCCACCTCTTGTGCACCTCCTCAACCTCTGCTTCACTGAATCAATCAATCAACCTCATTTGAACCTCATCACTATAACATATTGAGTAACAGCAAAACCTCGGCCCATAAACCCACCTCTTGTGCACCTCCTCCATCTCCTCCTCCTTGCTCTCCTGGATGCGGCTCAGCTCCAGCTTGTGCCTCGCCCTCATCTCCGACATCTCGTTCTTCAGCCTCTTGTTCTCCTCCTCGGTGGCCACCAGCCGGTCGGCAAACTCCTGCCGGATCACGTCCTGCACGTTGTTGCGCTCGTTGGTCAGCCTGTCGCATATCTAACACAATAAACCAAATGAACAAAGCCAGTTACCCTACCTCATTAAATTCTCGACATAGGTGAATAAACGGAGCATGCAGTTCATATTTAACAATTGTTGACTGCTGTGATATACCACATCACAGCAGTCAACAATGGTTTTGTTATATCGTGCCAACTCATGTAAGTCAAAAAGATAAAGGTCTTTAACTCACTGTCCAAGAAATAAATTTAATCACTGCACAGTAACTTTATGATTAGTGTGAACTGTCTTGCCATACATGAGATTGAGAGTTTGCAGTTCTCTGTTGCGATGCGCGTGGCCCTACGAGGCGTGTGACACATGCACCCTTCACATAATTATCATAATTACAAAAAGCTTTGTCCAATTGAGCAAACATTTTGAACATGTACTTAGCATAAATATCCCTACTAGCATACCAAATTTCAAAATCATCAGTCATTGCATTTCCAAGATATAAAGGGGGGCAGAATCCCCATGAGCCCCGCTTGTACGATGACCATAATAACCAGCTCTTTTAGGGTTACATGAGTACTGCTGTTGCATCGCTTCACCTACCCATGTGTCACCGCATTCGTCCAGTAATCTACTCACTAGTTTATCACTCTATCTCTCTCACCTTCTTGATGTCATCCACTTCTTGTTCTTTTTGTTTCATCAGTCCGTTGATCCTGATGTTCTCCCCTTCGACATCAGCTAGCCGGGCCTTCATGTCATTGTACCTGTCCTGGGTGTTACGCTCCGATAGCTCTATCTCCCTCAACTCCGCCTCGTATTTGTCTCGTATCCTCCTGAGAATTTCAATTTCCGAAAAAAAAGTCTATGAGTTTTGCATGGTCTCCGTGCACAAGTACCCCCTCAATGGTAAAAAAAGGAGAGTTGGGGGAAACCACTGTGAGGGACATTCGAATGCATTGCCGACAACTCCCAACACTCATGTGAAGACACTATGGCTTTGCGCACATTCGAAATAAACACCACATTACACTAGGGGGCGCTCTTCAGAATATAGATGTATATATTAATATGTATACTCGGGCTTACATCAAAGGCCAAGTTCGGGCAAGGACCATTAGTCGACTAGTGGTTGATTTGTGACGTACCTTATGCCTGCGCACTGATAGCAACGTGCGAATGTCTCTAGTCAAACGCTGGTCAAAATGTCATCGCAAATTGTCTGGATCCTGGCTCCCTGCTGTACGTTATGAATGCGCGCGGCTATTGGTTACCAGCGATGCAACCAGCCCCAGTAGGTTGGTTCCAAATAGTCGACTAGCGTAGTCAACCATCGTCGACTAGACAGAGTTCGGGCAAGCGTTAGTCGAACAATGGTTAACTGTAGTCCTTGCGCGAACTTGCCCAAAACTGTGCATTTTAAAAGCTTTTGTACTTTGTTTTTCCACTTTTCAGTGCTATTGAATACATTTTGGCTGTTGGGATGTTCACAAAAATACCTCGAAATCCGCATTTTTTTTCTGATCAAATAAAAGCGGGGGGATGATTCAAAAGCCCATCTCCCCCCCCCCCCCCCCCCGGTCAAAAAGTGGGGGATATCTACCCCCATCACCCCCACGGGATTTACGCCCCTGGCGTGATCAGCATTTTCTAGCTGGTAACCACCGCGGAACCTGCCCCTTGTTTGACTTACTTGACCCTGTTCTCGGCAGCTCTCTCACACTCCTCTCTGGCCGTAGCTGCGTCCTCCTCCAGCCGGGTGAGGACCAGCTCAATCTCCTTGTCTCGATCCTTACGCACCTGGTCCTTCAGCTCACGCTCCTTGGACAGCAGCCAGGTTTCCTAGGTAACCAGGGATAGAAAAAGAGGAGGGAATTTGCATCAATTACAGCTTTGCAAGTTGATTTTTTTATGCATATCACCTTTGTGGAACTTTTAAACACTATATTAGGCAAATACAAGGCCTACAGAAATAAAATACATGTACAATGTTCAATAAGTAAAGTGTCTTAAAGCTTCCCTTCAAAATTTCATACCTTCAGAAATATCCTGATTCAGGTTTATATTAAGAGAACAAGTGCAACTTACAACACTTTCGTGTTGAAGTCACAGTTTTGCTTTTGCAAAATGTTGACTTTTTTCTTAAAGGGCTCTTAAACATGTTTAGCGTCCTGCCTTTTTTGAAAAAAAGGAAGGAGGGGGCCCTTTTTTTTTTTCCTCTCAAAAATGGCCACCCGATCCGACCGGGCTATTTTTCAAGATGGCCGCCAGCTTTTTTTAAATGGCCGTCACTTGGACTCAGGAAATGACATACCAGCTTTATATGGACTAGATGCAACAGACAAAGAGGCCAAAATGATGTCACTGTTTAAAATTTATCATTTTTTTGTTTCTTTTGTTTTTTTTAAAAGAAGGCGGCCTCCAAAAAGGAAGCAGGCGGGGATACTAAACATGTTTGTTTGTTTTTTATTTGGCCTTACGTACCTGTTTCTTCATGTAGTTCTCTTCCCATGCTTCTTTCTCAATCTTTAATCTCTCATCTAAATCTTTCACTTCAGCCTGCATCAATGAAGAATAATAAACGTCAGTGAAGTAAAATAAATAAGTAGTGGGCAATTTATTGCAATGTGATTAACCATTCATCAGCAAAATTTGGTTTATTCTAGGTCAATTTCACTAGCAAAATTTCCACAAGTACAATATGATGATAATAATACAATTTTTAAGCGCAAACAATGGCAGAACAAGATCAAAATTGATCAAAATCTTAAGCGGCGTGCACAACGCCTAACTTGATGAAGTTTCAGCTCAGTGGATACTTTACATTTTCAGGAAACAGAGAAAACGTATGCACAATTTTGGGATTCCGTTGCTAACGCATGTAAAAATCTGGGCTGCAGGGAGCAGTTTCTAAGACCCTCTTCAATGCTTGTTTTCTTCCGCATGATAGCATTTCAGGCAAAAGAATTTCACAGGGTCTTTGGTACCGGTCCTAACTTCCCTTTGAGCAAGGATTTTCTCGTGAAATTGTTCGGTACATTTGCAAATGTCCCTACAGTCCTTTAAAATTTAAAGTTCCAACCAAAATATAACACAAGAAGACATTCAAAACAAGCATCTGAAATGATCTCAGAAGCTGCGGGCCAATGATGTGTGTTCGTACATGTGTACCTTCTGCCTAGTCTGTATGAGATAGATGGCGCTCTTGCAGGTACGTGTCTCTCGCATTGAAATAAAGGATTTCCCATTTGTTGAACGTCACAATGCAAACTTGACCTCGATAATGCAAGTCTGTCTGCCCTCCCATGAGGGCCATAAAACTGCCGCAGGAGCTGGCTAAGGTGAGTTATAGTGCACAGGTGCGTAATCCAACGTTTGTTACTAACTAACTAATGGAGAGACACGAATACTTGTAGAGCTGCTATCCGCAGCTAAAAATCAGACACTTAGAAATAATCAGAGAAAAAAAGAAATCTCAGATGGTATAGCACTGGTACAGTATTCCGTAAATCGAAGGTTCGAAACCCACTCACTACCCACCCTGTGCCTGCGTTCCTGCTCGTCCCTGGCCTGTTCAAACTCCTCCTTCATGGCCGTCAGTGCCTTCCTGCTGTTCTCCTCCATCTGCAGGCTCAGCCGGTCCGCCTCTTGGCGTTGCCTCTTGGCCTGCTCTGCAAGTCGCTCCTTCTCCTCTTGGATGTCAGCGTAGAGGCGCCGTCGCTGCTGCTGGTAGGCCGCCTCCTCTTGCTCCAACTGCTTCTCATATCTTCAAAAAGGTGACCGAATGGTTGACTGATTATTAATGACTTGATGGAATTTTGCATTAAGGTGATGTGATTTGAATACTGGGTTATGACCTTCGCTGATGTTCTGTTGCAAGCACAGAATGCTCAGTGTTTCTCGAGTGCTTGTGAGTAAATATTTCAAAGCAAAGTCAACTGGCATTTGATCCCACAGCCTCCTTCTATCTCATGCAGATGTCCTACCACTCAACTGAGCTTGCCAAAGTTGGCTGGCGAGTTCAACTCATGTAACTGATGAATCCACGAAAGAATGGATTGACGGTTGATACGCTATCTGACAGATCATCCACCAAATTTCGGAATAGCTTTTTGCTAATTCGTACATTTGAGAGAAAAAACTACGCAGTAACACACACGACTGTTATGTTATCTTATTCGTAGAGTTGAGGTGCTCTATTGTCAGATGCCACTATTTGTCGATGGTATCGTTTTTGTCGACGGCGGTTAATTGTTCCCTTCCTTTTAGCAGGTTAAAGCCCTTGACAAAAATACTGCAAAAAAATTCCAGTGGCCCATTATATCGACAGCTGCAAGCAAATTTTAATCAATGTGCTTCGCGTGCAACTTTTGACCGGCGCGGCACACAGTTGCAGCTGGCGTGGAAAAGCTGATTTGAATATTCAAATATTCGGTCAAATGCAGTTTCGAATAATCGAATACTAAACTAATTGAAAATGGACAGCCCAATCAGTCCATTACAGGAATTCATTATCACTCCAGCAATCGGAACCTGACACCAGTTCAACATATGTGATGCGATCAAGCCAAATGAGTCGTTTGTCGGGAACTTTCATTTGGAGATACAGGCCAAAATAGGGCCACTTCATCACATCACTTCATCACATCTCTTGGTGTTCCGACTCCCACAATTGTTTAACTAAAGATGGTACCAACATGCGGTTTTCACAGCAGTAATGCTGAGATTGTGCTCATTTCAAATCTGTAAAAAAAAAAAATTGACCAGGGTCGACAAACGACTTATTCAGCTTGATCGCATCACATATATCAAATCACAAGACCATCACAAAGTATATTACAAGTAAGTTCACAATAACAGCAGATGAACAATGGTCAAAGAATTGCTATTGTCACAGTTCACTTGAACAGCTTGTGACTTTAAAAAAAAAAAAATTTGGTAATGAAACCAAGGATCCCTCAAAAGCACCCTAGGCACTGTAGCTCGAAAGCCTGAAGAAACCTGTGGAGAGAAGACAATGAGAAGAAATTACAGTTTTTCAGAGGTGGGAGGAAAAGCCCAGAGGAATATTCTAAGGAAAACCCACGGAATCAGGTAGGGACTGAAAACCCAATCCACATATTGGCCCAGGCGGGATTCGAACACGGGTCACAGTGGTGGAAGGCGAGGAAAGTACCGCTACACCAACCTGACTCCCCAGAGGCAATGAAACAGATGGCAATGAACGACAGAGGCAATGAAACAGATGAATATTTTTACGATTAAACCAGTAACACTCTGCAACATGTTATAACCATAAAGTCCTTATCTATTACAAGCTGGTACTCAATAAAAGCACCTTGACTTGGCTAGTTCTCGTTCCCTGGAGCAGGCTGCTTCCTTCTCTGCAGCCAGCTGGTCTCTCAGCTCCTCCGTGTGTCGGACGTACTTCCCTCCCGCCCGCTCCTCAGATTGCAGTAGCTCCGCCTCGTGGATGGCTTTCAGCTTTTTGATCTCTGTCTTGTGGCTGGCGATGAGCCGCTGGATCTCGGGCTCCAGGCCTTTGACTGTGATTTCCTGAAAACAAGATTATAAGCAGTGATGTCAGTCCTCACAAAGTTACCATAAGTCAATCACAAGTCAGTCAGAAGTATAAAATTGGGATAAATAAGATTGTTATACGTCTGTCTTAAATCACGTGTTCAGATTATAAAAAGTCATGGCACACTCCCTGTGGGATATCAGGTACGTACGATACGGTACGTACGGTATGGTAACGTACCGTGTGAAACGCTTGTATCGTTGGTACCCACGCTATTTTCACCATGTTTTCACACGAGTGGGCGCAGCAAACTAGCAGACGATCAGCTGTTTCGAGCATGCGACATGCATGTGAGTTGACGTCCAATTTTCATGATTGTTGTGTTTACTGCTATTTGTTTTCGTGATTTTCACATCAAAATCCAAAGAATCCAAGCCAGAGGTATAACAAAACAAATGTTGACTGCTTTGATGTGGGATATGACATTTTGAACGCCCCCTGTGAGTGCTATGCGGCCCTCGGGTGTTAAAAACGTCATCCCAACAATCAACAATTGTTAAATGTTTGGTAAAATGTTCCATAAATATCCGATGTCAGATTGTTATTTCACCCAACTGTAATGATAACAGGGTGGAATCGGAGCAAGAGGCACTCTTGAATTTTTTTACACTTTCTGTAAATCTTAATTTCTCCATGTCTACAATATCAAATTGACTAATCATTATTTTCAAGTTTCGGTGATCAGTTTTGAATCCTGGATATGACTGAGATGGTTCTAATACCTTGATTTTCTTGGTTTTCTCGTCAATCCATTTCTCTCGTCGGATCTTCTCAGCAGCCGCCTGGACGTCCTTCACCTTTTGCAATTCAGTATTGTGCCTTTGGGAGAAAACAGAAATGCCTAACAATAACCAAATGTTCCTCTCTGAAGAACACTGCCTGGACAGCTCAAGCTACTCTGAATTTAAAAATATCTGTGTGATGACAGGAAGAAAGCTTACGTGTCTTCCATGGTTTTCAGCTTAGTCTGGTACTTCTTGTCCACTGACTTCAAATCCTTGACCACGGAGTCGTACTTTTCGCTGAGACTTTTCTTGTCATCAATCAACTGTTGGGTGAAAAAAAAGGACAAACTGAATACAGTGGCTCCTCAAACATGACGCCAAGAGGACACTATGATGAAAATATGAACGAGCCTAATTTTGATTGGACAGAAATCCTCCTCGATATTCAATATTCATAAATACCTCAGACAGTTTAGCTATTCCTATTGGTCGAGAGCCCGTCAAGTGGCCGGTCTTAAACGGATGATAAAGACATGGCTAGCTGGTCTTAAACACTTTTCCAGTGTCACAATAAAATGTGGACTCCTAAAAATCCAGTGCCTCTTACCGTTTCATTGGTTGAACGTTCACAATCCTCACGTAGGCATGCGCAACACTACAAGCGAGTCAGAATTTTATAGTTCTAAATTCAAAACGCAACGCCCCAGGTGCGTTCTGCGTGACATCGCGCAGAACATGTTACGCGCGCGTCAATCTCCATAAAAGGGTTGTTTACATCTTACTCGCCAGCTGAACACTCCATTATTTTGCTAGAGGGATGTTTCAAAAAGCATGAAGTGAAATTGTTGAACAAAATCGGGATTTTTTGAACGAATTATTTGATATTTTTTTACGGATAAGGTATTTATGAATGGGAATAAATATGTGCTCGGTCGGTATTTATCACTCTGTTTAACACCGCTTAGAGTCTGGGTGCTGATAATTACCCTCGCCTCCGGCTCGGGTAATTATCAGCACCCAGACTCTAAGCGGTATTAAACGAGTGATAAAAACCTCCGGAGCACACATTTATTCCCTTATTTACAACAGTGCCCCTTTGGCCTTGTGACATATTGACACAGGCTCTTTACATTCTTCCGTATTCCACTCATTCGTTTGAGATAACTAATAGTCACCGGACTTGACTCTGGAAAACTTTATGACTGGCTTGTGATGACAGGATTTCAACCCAGTGAGGGAGACTGATGGACCGTCTTGAATACCTGGTCAATGAATGACAGGTGTCTCTTGACAGCTGCCTCATAATCCTCCTTCTGTAGACTCAGCCTCTTCTTCATTTCCTTCTCCTGCTCCTTGGCGTGACGGACCGTCAGCTCTCGCTGCTGGTTCTGAAAAAAATCAAACAAAACCCCTTGAAATTATCACATAAATCTGTGAAAAAAAACTCACAAATTGCCACCTATACATATTTTATTTACTTATTTATTTTATTACACCTAACACGTAGTCTACCATAGTAGACTACGGTTCAAAGTTGAATAGTGTATTAAGCTAGCTTAGTATCAGCAGCATAACATATGTTCCAACAAAGCTTCACAGATGCATCAAGTGTCTGGACTCACCAGGGCTTTCTGCAGCATCTTGACAGACCGATCCTTCTCCTCTAGTTGCAGCCGCTGAGACAGGACCGTGTTGGTCACCTCTGAGGCAGCGGCTGAGGCCTGCTCCAGCTTGTGGAGCTCGGCTGCCGAGGGGACCAGGAGGACCGACTGGCTGACTGCAGAGGTCGCATCTTGAGACTGCACAGATTTTGGAGAGCAAATACACAAATTTAGTAGATTACCATGGTACAACGGTTTAACCAGTTCGCGCCGGAGGCCGTGATAACACGCACTGCTTCTTTTTTTCCCCAGGCACGGCTGACGGATTAAGACGTCAAGATTGCCTTGACTCGCCTCCGGGTGACGTCTAAACACACTAATCCCTTGTGCCTTTTTTACACACACACAGTTGGTGTTTTCTGTGGAGGCAGACCGTGTGCTGACTGTTGTGTGGGCCGTTGTGAACGGCCTATTGTTGTACAAATTTATGCTCCAGTGCAGTGCACACCCCAGAGTATTGTAACATATGAGGTTTCGGCAAGAAATATTGTACAAATACTGTTGAAATGACTCTTGCAAATCAGTATTTGTGGCGTTTGGCTGTAAATCAGAAGTTGGCTGGGATATTTTGCCTTTAGAAAATTTCAAAATTTTTGGCAAAAATAAACCCGGCGCGAGGTGGTTGATACAGCTCTGACTACTGCGTGACAGCGTGTGGGTTCAAACCCCAAGTGAACTCATGGTGTTTGTGCTCCTAAGCAAGACACTTTACTGCAAGTGCCTCCTTCCACCCAGGAGAAGAAATAGGTACTGGTTGGGCTAGAAAACAGACTATGCTACTGTTGACTGCTGTATGGCTCTGTTTTCATACAGTGGAACGCTGCTATAACGACCATCGCGGGATCCACAGAAATTGTTCGTAACGGCGATCGTTCAGTATAGCGATTTTAAGCTGCCTGTGCTCCGGTACTCACTTTTCAATAAATAGTGCCCTTCAGAACTTCACCCTGTACACCCTGGAAGTTACTGAAAGACGACTTTGAACACGTGCCAACTATTAAATTATTCCATTGCACAGTTTTTCAGCTTACTACATACAGCAATGGGTGGCTTTCCCCTTCTATTCCTTGGGGAAATAAGGCCACTTGTCGCTCTTTTCTTGACATGTTTTCAACAATAATGTTCGGTACCTATTGTACACAAAAATCGGGAGCCAAGGACGATGTTCGGTTTAGCCAAATGTTCGGTGTAGCGGTGTTCGGTATAGCGACGTTCAACTGTTCTTGTTTTTTTTTTTACCAGTGATTATCCAGTGCTTTTACTTGTGATTTGAATACAATTCTTCTGAGTACAAACTGAGAATTCATCGCATCTGAGGATGTCTGTCTATTACCCAGACTTCCCAAATGGAGATACTGTTGCTATTAAATCACCCACCTGAATGACCTGACTGACAATGTCCTCCTTGTCTGCATGGTCAACCTCATCAAGGAAGGACATGATGCTCCTGAAACAAGAAACATAGTCCAGATAAGAGCTAACAATTATCAAAATAACTTTATTTTGTTTTAGAACCGAGTTATATTTATTTCCAAGACTTGATCATTTTCAGGCTTTTGCTTTTTTTTCATTCTAAAAAGAGACACTGGAAAGGTTTTGAGTGTTTATAACCATTTCCAAGTTGGATGATCATTGAGAGCACCATCAGAAAATTGTGAAAAATCCCCTAGTTGAGTCAATCTAGCTGTTGTGAAATGTTATTAAGTCTGTCCCCAATGATCAAACATTCTAATATTCTTCAAACTTTTCATCTGACATAAATGCTAGGAAAGGAAATGAAGTTTACTGAAAAAAGAGAGAAAAGATACAATCTGTTTTTTTTCACATTTTCAATTGCTTATACCGTTGTTGAATGTTTCCTTGCCACTACCTGTTGTTAACAAAAGCAAAAGTTTTGCTTGTGAATTTGTGCATTATCTACAATTGCAATTGCTCTGTTGATCCAATATCCACTTTTGGTGTACATATATTTGATTTAATGTAAATATTAATACTTGAATATGGAAGTTTTCTTAATAACTCAGCCTTCACTCACTTGAGTTTATCCTCCGTGAGCAAGGTGTGGTGTGATACCATCTTGGGCCCCGCCTCTGAAGGCTTAGGCGCTGCCGGCTTGGTGCTTGCCATCACCTGCTGGAGGTTCTCAGCCGAGAGATACACCTCCTGTCTCTTTGAGGTTCGCTGTCTGGACAATCCAGGAGCATCCTCATCCTCGTCTTCTACTTCTTCTTTGTCGTCCAGGATGTCTACTGTAAGTTTCAATCAAAATCCACCAAGACTTTTGGAAGATTGTGTAGGATTGAGAAAGGTTTGGCAAGTAAAACTGCTTTAACCGTACCCCTCCTGTATTTTTTTAAATGCACCATAGGGTTTTGAAGGAATTTGTAGGACTGAGGAAGGTTTGGAGGGTAAAATGGCTTTAACTGGTCCCCTCTTAAAAAAGCGAGTTGAAGGATTTGAAGGATTGAGGCAGTGGTCACCCCTCCAATGAACAAATTCAAGAAACAACAGGTTGATTTTGGAGGATTGAGGCAGGATCAAGCTTTATGTAAAGGAAGATGGAGGATTTTGTGGGATTGAGGATGCATCTTGGCCAAAAAAAAAAGGTCCAGGGGGTTAGGTAACACTAATTTACAAAGAACAAAAACTCTCAGTTATTTCATGAAAGAAGACTCCCTATCACATGAAAATTAATCAATGTTCAACCAATTTAACACAAGTATTCTTACGCCAGGCGGGTCCTTTTTTCTTCTTCTCCGTGGGGCTAGGGACCCTCACTGGCTCCTCCAGCAGCTTCAAGGTGTCAAGTAGGTCTGTTAGGGTTGTCTTTGTGCCGGCGATGCTTGGTGTTCCTGCTGGCTCTTCCTCTGTTACCTGGGTTCTGTGTGTTGAGGGCTCCTACCAAATTGTAATAATAAAGTCATTTGAATGATTGCCTTTAACCCTATTCTACAATGCAGTAGTGGAGTTTCCTCTGATTTTTCTTTGTTAAGATTGGAAAAGAATATTTCTACGTTCCAAGTTTGCTGAAGTTGAAGGTGTTTTTTAAATATCACAAACAGAGATATATGTTTTATGCCTAAGTACCAGTAAAAGTATGTCAAAGACAGCTTTTAATTGCTGATATCTGTAAAATAATTTCAAGAAAATCAGGCAAAATAAGGAAAGGAATAATACATTTGATAAAAATTTAAAATGTATTACATGTTTGATTTATTAGAAACATTAAACACTAAAGCCCGGTTCATACTTCACGCGAAAGCGAAGCGAAATTCATGACGTCAACAATACGTTCGAAGCGCGTCCACCATTGTTGACGACATGAATTTCGCTTCGCACTTGCTTTCGCGTGAAGTATGAACCGGGCTTTACGATTGGAAATTATAATTTTATCGTTGTAGAAGTATAAATTCTCGCCATTTGCTTTTTCATTATAAAAATTACAGGGCTCCACTTTTAGAATGAACTTTTTGTCGCTCTTCAGTTTTGTTTTTACAACTCACATCGAATATTTCGTCCACCTTCCGACCGAGGCTACTCGCTGTTCCCGGTCGTGGTCCTACCCCTCCCACAGCTCCCACCAGTTCGTCGGGGGTATTGTCACCGTTCTCCACCCCAGGGGAAGGAGGCTTACTATCCTTCTGTTTCTTGCTGGCGTTGCTGGAGCTTCGCTGCCGGGGCTTGGCCGAGGGCTTCTTGGAGACCTTGCCGCTGGTTTGCAGGAAGCGTAGCTCCTCCTCTGCTTTCTCCCGGATGTCTCTGGCCTTCTCCTCCCGCTTCCTCTGAAGTTCCTGTGAGACCCCACCAAAAATCAGAGATGCTATCTTACCGAGTTGTAGTCAGTTCAATCACTGGTCAATAACACATCAAGTCGCAAGTCAATTTCTTGTTAAATTTACAAGTCAGGTCCCAAGTAACAGGGGATGACCAACGACAAGAGAACGTCTTTGTCAGAGCTCATCTCAAGAGCCTGTTGCTTGACTTGAGACGACATAACTTGTGAGGAGCTGTGACTTCATGTCTGGTGGAACATGAAACACAAATATTGTGAATTTCTTTAAGCTATATTAAAATTACTAGAGCGCTGACTCGATGTCTGATGCCTGCTGGGTGCATCAATGTTTGTGCACAAACCTATGGAGTAACGAAGTGTGACGTCATTTAGAACCAGAAAGTGTAGTGCAAACGAATGGAGTACGCGCGCCTGTTGGTTCACGGGCTGAATCACGTGCTAATGTCTTTCACACACATTTTGTGCGCGTGACGTATTCACTTCGGTACTTATGAGAAAATTCAAATTTTTGTACGGTTTTTGTATGGCTATTTGCATATGTATATCTGTGTTTGTAGCCAATAAGCCCAAAGCCGAAATGCAGTCAGTATTGAGCATTTCATTTTGCTCTGCGCAAACAACGCAAACACTTGCACGTATCTGCTGCAGATGATTTTGCCGTAACGCTTTTTACCTGTCATGATGCACTTAAGTTTGTTTGCGTATGTGCATTGCATTTAGAGTACACTTTCAAATTTCAATCCATCTACATTGTACATGTAACTCCATTATGTTACACAAACAAGCACATGAATTCAAAATGTCTGCGCTCAGGACAGCTTAAAATTATTTCCGCGCGTAGGAATGAGGAGTTAGCGCTCTAGTAATTTACATGTAATATAGCTCTGTGGTGAATTCACATCAAGAAGTGATGCACCATGTATAGATGTTGCACTACATGTCGAAAACATATATCTACCATCCATTACTTCATTGTGTATCAAAGTACCCCTGTTTGTCACTTTGTCATGTTAACTGATAATGTAAATAACATGATGTACATGGCACAGGATACACGGTTGATTTGTTTTTTTGGTGACCCTGTCTAATGTGTGGAAACCCGTTTTTCTCTTACCTCAATAGCTGCCTGTCTAGCCTGCCGAGCTTTCTCCTCCCTCGACCTCTTCCTGTCATCTTCCTTTTTGAGCTCGGCCTCCGTCTCCTGTTGTTGTTGCCGTAGCAACTCCTCCCGTTCCCGCCTCTTCTGGTGCAGGATCCTCCTGATCTCCTCCTCCCCTTCCTTCCGCCTCGTACTGGCGTTCTTCCGGTACCACCTCTGGATAGTGCTGGCCGCCTCGTTCACAGACTCAATGTAATTCTCAGCAACGGGATGCGTCGGTGAAGGGGGGACAGGGTCTCTTCTCGGAGTTCGGTGGCCGTTTCGAGAGTCGCTCTCGCGAGGCGAAGGCTGCGTGAAGAGTCTACTGGAGTTGGCGGTCGGTTTCAGGGGACTCGGGGCTCGGAAATTCTTCTCAGAGCTGCTGACCAGCTGGGCATCCCCGGCTCCGGAAGGGGGCGCGGAGTCCAGGTTGGTGTTATTGGTATTCATGGAGTTCTTCAACAGGTGCATTGCATCCACGGGGATCGGGGAGGTCTGGTTCTCCTGTTTTGAGAGGAGGGTGGTGTGGGTGTTGAGTTGCAGGGGGGCCGGGGTGCTGAGGCGGGACGTGTCGCGGGAGGTATCACGGGACGTGTCCTGCCGTCCACTGTTGAGGGTGTAGGAGTCAATGGTACTGCTGCTTCGGGCACTGGAGGGTATTGCAAAGGCTCTGCCCGATGGCTGTGGTTAGAAAAGACATCAACATGTATAGGAATTTACACCTTTCAACTTTTAGCTCACAAAAGTTTGCAGGCATGCAACTGGGAATTTAGAGAAAAAAAACGAGGAAATTCCAAACCACACAAGACTTTGTACAGTGTTTTCAATTTGTACTGGCATTCATGAGAAGAAAAAAAAAACGAGGAAATCAGTGGAACCGAGGAAAAGTTGCATGCCTGAGTTTGGGATTCTCATGAAGACAGAAGTTATGCCAAATTACAACCAATAACATTTTGTCTCAATTATTGCAGAACTATGAACCTCCCAAGTTTCATAACGATCAGATCTTATTGTGCATATATTTCAAAACAGATGATCATTACATATAAAGTACATCTACAGGAAATATGTAAGGCCATGAAGAGATGCAAGACAGTCTGGTGCCTACAGCACAGTAGCCAAGTTACTGCACAATACCTTCCGGGAACATGTCCAAGATGGACGACCATTTCTATGAAACTTACAGGCTCATTCCAGTGGTTGCGGGTGGATGCTTTCTTGGGTTTGCTGGATCGGTTCTTGATGATGGGTTGGTGGCTGCTGTCAAACAGGGCCAGGAAATCTGTGGCACTACTGTGAGCGCAAGAAAAACAATAAAACTTATGTTGGACAACGCTTTCAGTGAATGGACAGAGAGGCCGGTGTGGCCTCTGACTGCATGTTGGGGGTTTCATTATGTTGAAGGACCATGAGAGTCGGTTCTTTAAAGAGGTTGTGGAATGCTCGAAGACATTTCTGTCATTTTTCGGGTATATGTAGCCTAAGGTGTGATGAAATAAAAACAACTATTGTTTCTGTCATGAAATGAGTACAAAAGGTACTTTTGAGAGCTGTTTTTCAGGTCCAGTTTCGACCCGAACGTGTAACTGTGTAAAAGTCGTCGTTGCGGGCAGCAAACAAAACACAGTAAATTGTGACGTAATAAACAGGTCTCCCGATGCACAGTAGCATACACGAGTCCTGTTTATTACGTCACGATTTACTGTGTTTTGTTTGCTGCCCGCAACGACGACTTTTACACAGTTGCACGTTCGGGTCGAAACTGGACCTGAAAAACAGCTCTCAAAAGTACCCTTTGTACTCATTTCATGACAGAAACAATAGTCGTTTTTATTTCATCACACCTTAGGCTACATATACCCGAAAAATGACGGAAATGTCTTGGAGCATTCCACAACCTCTTTAACCAATACTTAATCCACCTATTTAGATACTGTAGGAAATACCTGTGGGTAATATGGGCAGGATACACACTTTGACTATTTGTATTGATTGAGGCAAAAAGGTCCAAAATAAAAGACTTGATGCGGAGATAAGGTAAACACAAAATAGGGACCTCCATACTGTATGGTTGCTGTAAGGTAATAAATAACATTTGCTTTTGCTGTAAATTTTTAGAAATGGATGGATTTGGGGGTTAGCATTTTTTTTTATAGCAAACATTTTTACACTGACCTAAGGTTTTGTGTTTATAGATGCTGGAAAAACCAAGAACAGAATGTTTTTTTTGTAGTCTGGTTCCTTGACACTACTTCAGATGAAACCGAGCAATTTATAGACGTCGGGAAATTGTTTTATCAATAAATTGGGAATTTTTTATCAATAAATTGCACCCATTCATGAATGTGTAACCGATTGCCAACACAATGTGGACTAACTAAATTTGGTAAATTGGAGGCAGTATTTTGAAAAAAAAAAGAAGGTTTTTTCAACATTGGTCTGCTAACCATCAAAAATTCACCTTTAAAAAAAAAAAATCTCAGCACACCAGGTGTCATGATGTCACAGGATGCTTGAGACTATTATTCACTTACAGTCAAGTAAGGTATTTCACAATAATGTGGTAGTTTTGTTTTTGACGTTTGCAAAATGCTGTACATTACCATTAACATAAATTTGCTGACCTTTGTCAAAAACAGATTTTTGACAAAGGTCAAAACTGGAACAGTGTTTTATCAAAAGAAAATAAAAAGATATGAGGTAAGCAATAATTACTGACCTTGGAGCATCTCGGCTGATTCCTGACGCCCCGCTGCTATTCTCACTTGTATTGCTGCGCTGACTCAACTGAGCATTGTGACTCGACGCTAGTCCAAAAATAATCATGAACAACAATGTTAAAAAAATGAAATAAATGATGTCAAGTATACATAATCAGTTCCTACGCTTTTTATTGTTCACTATTACTAGTATGTTAAACATACACTGCACAAAATCATATTAGCTACAGTTTTTTACCCCTTGGGGCGCATAGCACCCACGACTTCCCCTTGTGTGCTAAAAACACCATATCCCACATCAGAGCAGCCGGAAATTGTTAATTAACAGTGGGAACAGTCTGAACAGTCACATTTGTGGGGTGCGTGAGTTTGTTTCTGCATTCCATAGGGAACGTTGAACAATAGAGGACAATAGGGTCTCCAATTCCTGAAGGTCCCCAATTTTGGCGATCGTGTACAAAACATATGGGAGGTCTTCCTAAAAAGTTAGAGTACAAACGAAAAAGGGACAAAAGGGGGTCCCCGATTGCAGGCAAATACACACTCATGTGTGTTTGTAGATGCATATTAAAGCTATAGTCCATCATTTGCAACCATCCGAAAAGTAACTGGCGTAATTATTGTTGAAAAACAAACTTGGTTGAAAGATAGTAAGGGAACTAAACTCCCTGTGAAATTATTCTTTCTGGGAAGCTGTCATTTTGAAGTAATCAACGAAAGAAGGCCTTTCCAACGGTGCGTCCTAAGACGCACCATAGGAAAATTTAAATTAGTAGTTCGTTTTGTTACTCGGCGAAGCACGCGCAAGCATTGGAACGACACACACGCGCGCGCGTTTGCTATAATTCGTCGGATCAGTGCGCGACGTCCCGTATAGCTATAATTCAAAACAATTCAAAACATGATTCAGTAACTTATGATTTGAAATTGAGATCCTAGAATGCTGTTTTTTTGTGTGGAATATACATGTACAGCAGAAGCTTAGCTGAAACTTATCAGGTAAGTTGTTCAGTATCCTTCATTAGATTTTGAACACTTTTGTTGCTTCAAATGAACAAAATGCACAAATTAAAAATGATGGACTATATATCTTTAAAGCTCTGCTCTGGAGTAATCCATACCCATTTCCAACCCACCCCCCAAAACTTACGCATGCCAAAGGGAACAGGATCAATATTCTGAGATTTGTAATGCAGTCCTTATAAATACATTGCCTGAGCCAAAATATACTCAATGTCCGTGAATATCAACTTGTCATAAAAAACACCAATTATTTGAATCAATCAATATCTCCAATCCATTGTTTTATTCTAGCTCTCTTCATAGACCCCCCCCCCTCCCCTTTTGAAAAATGTTTTCTTCTTACTTTTTTAATTTCGAATTCATTGATTAATCTTAACTTTGAACTTAATTTGAATTCTGGAATGCTTCTAAATGTTAATGCTTTGTACAAATTTGTAATTTTTATCGTAAATTTTGTAAATCAAATTATTTAAGTCTTCGACTTTTTATTTGGTGGTGTTTTTTTTAATCCAATAAACAACAACAGAATTGAATTATAACTCAATCTCACCTCTTTTATGCCTTTCATTTGATGAGGGTGTAGAATTCAAAGCAGGCCCATTTGAAATACCCTGCAAAATTAATGGTAAATGAATAAGTTTTAAGGGTTTTTGAGGGTAGAGAACAGCTTGTGCTGATCTCAAGCTGATTAATAAAATTGACTTCATTGTCCGATAAACAGGGGTAGTAACATACAGGGCTCTGGAGTGCTCTGAAGCGTGCAAAACCACATCAGGACAACTTTACTCACACTTTAGCCAGCAAATTTCTCCAAAAATTCCATTGGGCAAAGAAAAGGTCCTCAGTATTTCACCAACCAAGTTTGCAGACACAATTCAATTTTTAAAGGAGACTTTTCTTCAATATTTTGCACATGAGAGGGAAGTCAAGTGATTTCAAAATGAGGCTAAAGACTAGACTGGTACATGTCCAACCATGGTCCAACTAGTTGAAACGACTGATCTCTTCATTCAGTGTCATTAGTCTGGTGGCTGACTACGGAGAAATGTGTAGTAAATTCAGACTAGTTCCCAGTTCATGCCACATGTTTCTTAAATTCTTTTGGCATGGTTGATTGATGCAGTACTGAAGCAGTGTTGGACTGGTTGTTTCAGGTGCCAGTCTATTTTCTTGTATTGCATGTTTTCAATACCTTAAGTTTTGGGACTCTCATACACAGTATTGAGAGTCCCAAATTTTCGGACTAGGGTACTAATTGTGATGCGCTTTGAGGCGTCTGTATAAAACTTACACTAGTAGAGTTAGTCCTTTCGGTTCTGTGTCTGCCAGGGCTAGGTCTCCGTGCCCCAGCCCCCGAACTGCTGTTGCTGCTGCTTGTCCGCACGTGGTTGGATGTCTTCGGAGTGGTGCGACTGCCACTGGTACCCTGTCTGGTCCCACTGCTGGCCGAGGACGGCCGGTTGCTGGCCGAGCTGGGCCTTTTCATAGACGAGATCTGGGAACCGGTGAGACTCAGGTCCATGTCGTTACTCTTGTTCGCCATCACTGGCTATTCTAAAGGAATGAAATAACATTTTACTCCTATGAATATAAAAATGTCTTCAGCCCACCAAAACAATGTTGTGCATTGTCAGTTTGCTGTCAACATCAATGTAAGTTAAGTCATCTGAACACAAAAGAACCGTTTGAATGTGTTACGCCCAAACTATGGCAATGACCCCAACTATTAATGGTTCTAATTATAGTTTCCGCAATCCGAAATATTGTTAGGAAGATGCTATATTTAGGGCACTCCAAATGACTCAAATGTGAAAATTTCACAGCCAGATCACAGGAAAGACAATAATGAAAATTATAAGTCATTATATGTTTATTTCACCATGAAACGCACCATGATGTTTGTCGCTCTTGTACCGACGATCGTGTAGTGTAGGACCCCTCTTTACTTTTGATAAATTAGTGTCAAAATTTTAGTGTCCAAAATGACCTTTTCAACCTAAAACAGGCTTTTCTCAATTCTAATGACACCTTTTTTGTAATTTTTTAACAGTTTCTTGGGGTAGAAATTGCAATTGTGGTGTTCGTTTGGTGTCATGCCATTCAACGCAGTATTGCGCGTTCACATCGATCGCGGTGATCGCCATCTTTATTTCCATGTTGTGTTTTGTTGTCGTCATTGTCATTGTCATCCCCACTAAACATGCACAGTAAATGCTTTTGGGACTTTCGTGCTTCTGGACGTCCCCGCTTACATTGTTGTTGTGACTTCGTATTCAAGAGGCAGGAATCAGACCTAATGCAATTTCAGACTTACGCCCCTTTAAAAAAATCTCAAAAGCCTCCAAAGTGCTTACATTCAAGAATCAATCTATTTTTTCCTCCATGATATAATTAAGACGTCATCATGACATTGATTACATGATCAGATTTTCCTCCAGATTGACACACACAAACGGAAAGAATGTTGCAACCTGACGTTGTTTTTTTCTTCATATATCAATTATCATCTCAATTATTGAATGAAGCCAGATCAGTCATCATTGCAAAAATGAAGACACGAATCTGGGACTGAGTGAGAAACATTTCCAAATTTGTTAGGAAAAATTTACTTAATTTTCTTGACTCTTCATAGACTTTGTACACAACCGATAAAGTCAGGTTGCAACATGCTTTTCCACAGAAACTATGATATACATGTAATTGCTAAATTCCCCCCCCCCCCACCTCACGCCTACCCTTCCCCCGCCCACCCCACCTGATGATAAATGCATTGTTTTGAATTGACATTGGCAAGCGCGACTCGTCATTTGTGACAGAATCAACACTAGTCCTACGGGCGATTATACTTTCCATCTCTTACATTTTAATTCTCCTAGATTAAGTGCCGTCCCTGTAGTTTACATCGTCTGTGTTGACTGGTTGCGATTGACGTAAAAGGGACGTAAACAGGAATATTTTTCACGATGTTTCTGCACCAGTTCAAAGGCATGCGCCCTCCGCGTAAGCAACCATCATCATATCCCATCATGCAGCGCGCTAAAATTAAAACTGGGAAAAAGTTACCCAGCACAGCCGTAAAAACCGAGGCCATTTTATTTCTCCTCTTTTTACAATGCCCCCCAAAAATGAAACAAACTTGAGCTAGTTAGACATGCATTTATTTCATTAGGATGTATATTTTTCGGGGGAAATTGTCTGTGAAAATACTTAATTTCAGTTAACTTGAGATGATATTTTGATCCTGAAAGTACAGTGACCCCTTTGGGAATCACCTTTTCTCTTCTGCATGTACACTTTGTACACACGATCTATGTACTCATTCATTAAGCTCAATATTTATGCGCTTGAGCGCAATTTCGTTTCATTTCATTTCATGCACATTTATTAGGGTAAAAATCATGCATTTCGTAAATATAAGAAATATTGCCTTGTATTTTAGTGTATATGAATAGCGTTTGACGGACAATAAAACATGTGATGAGCAGTTAGGAACTATTTTTTAGGTACGAAAATAAGAGTTATGCGGTCGGCAGCCATCTTGACTGAAATGAACCCCGAAGTAAAAACCAGAGAAAAAGAGACCTCGAAAATTGTTTGAAAGCTCACTTGAACACTCCTAAAATCCCATGTTACTGAGCTAGCCACCTCGCTGAGGCTGGAGTAACAAAATGGGCGATAAAAGGAAACTACAAGGTGAGATATGTGTATGTTTGTCGGGTTTATCGTTGGTCAAAGTAACCAAATTTACAACGTTAACGTTTGCAAAATCTCGTGCGCAAATCAATGGGGGCGCGCTGCAGAATGCCTGCAACTTGTTTTTGTTCATTATTTTTGTGGGTTTGAGCATGGAGCTATAATTTTTATAAGGTTTGAGCCCTTCTTTTGTCTACATGTTATTGTCATTAAAATGGTAAACTTGAAGTTGTTCTACATGTTCACTTCAATAGCAATATTAAATGAATTTTAGGCTCAAGTTTTTTATTTTCAATAAATAAAATTATTTTTTTGCACTTATTCATTGCATGCAGCTTCATCATCATCATCATCATCTTCATGTTCAACATGTTCATCATCAATCATGTCATGATTCATTTTCTGTTCATAATCATCATTCATGATCATATTCATAATCATCATTTATGATCATATTTTTCAATGCGGGGTAAAAGTGTAGTTTAGGACACCTCTAATTTTTTACTAATTTCATTCAAAAATTTACTTGCAAATGGCTTTCAAGTTTCATTTACTCATTATTCCAAAATTACTTTTGCAGCTTCAAAGTAAACAGACTTTTTTGGGAAAAATTCTGCCAACCGGACACCACTTACCTGCCGCCAAACATCCAAATTTTCACCTTACCTTGTGATTTCAACCAAGAGGAATCCAGGAAAGAGTGGACATGCGAAAAAAAAATGGTAAAAATGTGTTTTTGGAGCACATTTTGCATGCACATGTAGTGCAGATCTGAGTTGAAGCAGCCGGTCAAAACTGATTGAAGTGTCTGGAATAGCGGTACGTTATACGCATGACATCGATAACCATGACGTCGCATGAGACGTCGCATGAGCCGGCCAATGATAGTGCAATACGTCATTATGAATATTTATTTTCTCATGAATATTTAGTTTATTTCAATGGATACTTCAAATACGTCCAAAGATTGATCATTGCAACAGCGATCGTGCGCGGCCTAGCGGTTAAGAGACTCGTGTATCAAGCAAGCGTCCGAGGTTCGAATCTCGATAAAGTGAGCGACTGATTGATAAATAGAAATTAAGGAAAGGAGGGGGTGAGAGTAGAGGAGGAAAAGTGGAGGGAATAACCATAAAAGAGGTAACTTTTGGCGCTAGAAAATTAATTGAAAAAAGTGGTGTCCGGTTGGCAGAATTTTTCCCTTTTTTGTTAACCCCAGGTTGTTATAATTTTGATGAGTAATTTAATAATGACTTTCTTTACCTGACATGCCTGATTACCCACAACTCCCTAGGCATGCTAGGCCTTTTTGCGGAGTAATTGCAGAATACCCCGCCACTCAGAAATACACCCCTAAAATCTCTGGCTACGCGGTCATGGCGGTTGGAATCACTGGAAAAGAAACAATTTAAGTCCATTGCCAGCTACGCAGATACTGAGTGGGGGTCCATTATTTGAGAACGAAGCAACACAAAAGGAATGGGAGTTGCCGAAAAAAATTCTAAGTCCAAACCAACCACCCTGTTGCCGGCTACGCAGATACGGAGTGGGAGTCCCCTTGAATATGCTTAAGAACGAAGCAACACAAAAGGAATGGGAGTTGTTGAAAAATTTTTAAGTCCAAACCAACTACCCTGTTGGCGGCTACGCGGATACGGAGTGGGAATGCAGTGGAGCATGACGTATAGTACATACAAGTAGTGCTGAGAAAGTTTATTGAGGGCAATCAACCGTGACTCCATAGCCGGCTACGAGGTGGATAGATTGAGTGGCTGGGTATTCTGCAATTGTGCCCTTTTTGCTAGGATATGGTCCCATAAATGTGACTCAAATACTTGACTACCTCCGTATATTGAGTCACAGTGCCACATACGGCCTGTGCGCGGATGGTCCTGTTGCCAAAAATCAATTAAAGATGGAAATTATTTTGTCTGCAGAAAATCAACCGTGCAATAGTATGACTGCCAAATAACACAAAATCGTCAAATTCGGTACCTTCAGAGGTCTAGATATCCTAAAATCATGGTGATTCGGCAAAGAATTCGGACGGTTTTGAAAGAGCATGGCATCTCTGATATTTACCACCAGACTGTTTAACGGCCACCCTAATAATAGTCAAAAGGCCAATGGGATCAAGGAACCAGACAAGAGCTTTCATCATCTACTGAGCATGCGTCAACTTTGGCAAAGCGCACCGCGGCTGTTGCCTGTCATTCCAAAATGTTTGGAGCCCTCTGCAGTGAAGCACGCCTTCTTGTGTGCGCTCTTCATCTGCGGCCGCGTATTGCATCCGGGTACTTCACAGAGCTCCAAATCTTACAATTTGCTAAGGCTGTGTATCGGAACCGAGTACCAGACTGTTGATGTAAGGAACTGGTTCCAGATAATTGGATCGGGTACCTGTAACAAACTTTACAAAATACTTAGTATCTTCTAAAACAATGAAAAAGAATGCTTTGGAATGTCATTTGTGGGGAATTTGCAAAATGAAAACCAGGCAACATGGGAAAACGAAGCATATTTCATATTTATGACTCTCACGAAAATGGTTTACATTGTAAAGCTGTGCTCACTTTAGGTCTGTATCTGGCTGTATTGACTACTGACGCACCGATATGGTAGTATTACTGTGCGGACTTTTATGAACAATTTGAACAGCAACTTCCGAGATTTGAATTTTGGGTTAGGTTTCTTTACTATTTTTGTCTTTGCAAAACACATCGCGCCATTCAAAATATTTCAATCTGTTAACCCTAACCCTCAAGGGTATTTTGGCTAGAAACCCTGCCCAACGCAGCAACATGTAACACTTGTCCAAGTGACAAGCCTGCCCAGTTTAGCAAGATCCATCATGTCAAAAGTCTCCAAGGCCAAACTGCCTCAGAGTCTGTGGTCACCGAATGCAGCAGGATACAACTGTGGCATTGTTCAATGGGACTAGCTCTCTATTGTTTCAGTACTGGCCATTCATACACTGGTGTTGACAGCTGAATGCATCAAAGTGCACCAGACTTTTTCACCTGATGCACTGTGTTGTGTCTGGAAGGTTTAGGGTAAAATGTATACTCTGCAACGGTGTTCCTCAATTTGACAATATTGCCCCAAAATTGGCGTCTGGATCTATGTATGGCTACATCTATTGTCACTAACCCTTACTCCCTAGGCCTTTTTGCTAGGATGTAGCCTCAATCCTGCAAAATCCTCCAATTGGCCTCATGGAAAAATAGCATATGGCCTCAATCCTGCAAAATTCCTCCATTATTTCTTGAATATGGTCGTTAGAGGGGTGACCACTGCCTAAATCCTGCAAAATCCTGCGGCAGTGACTGTCAATATGTTGAGACTTGGCCAGTGACATCCTGGAGCAGTAGGGAGGATTTCAAACATAATCCAGGCCTATATTTATGCATGGCTGAGCCCAAACAACACAAGGTCCGACCCAAGACCTTGACAAAGTGCATCCTACGAAATCAGTAATGCACTTTTGCCATGTAACCTCAATCCTCCAAATTCCTCCACTTTGGCAAAGAGGATTTTGAAGGACTATGAGCGGTTAAGGCTAATGTCAGTTTGTTCCGATGTCATTGAAATGAACCACATTTTTCTCTTAATTATTTTTATTATGACTAATTTTGACAACATACATGACCAAAATGAAAACAATTTGCCAGTGAGATTTGTCATGTTACATATCCCCCTGTAATCAAAGTCCATTGGCAAAGCCCTAGGAGTAGAAGCTAGAATTCAGCTTCTTACTGCCACTTGTTTTCACTCATGATGGACAGTCTATGAAAATAAGTTGGTGACAAAATAATAAGGACCGAAAATTGTGTTAGTTTTATAAGAGACTACTAATTTGTTATCACTGCAGTCATGTGTGAATTGTTTTCATGCACTGCAAAGAATGATGTATGGCCATGTTTATGTGACGCATTAGCCCATCCTGTCAGGGAAGTGAACCAGGCACCCTGGGGGATTTAGTGTCAGTTGTCTGACACTCCTTATCATCAGCTTAAAGGGACACGAAATGATGTTAATCGGAAAGAACATTTAAAAGTAAGATATGAACATCCACACAACTATCCTCTAAAAATTAGGCATTTTTGTGTTATTCCTGTATTATCCGTGCAAGAACGACTTTCGGGGTCTACTTTTGCGACCTCCAAAAGTCGAGCTATTTGGGTGCTAGTTGTGATTTCATCCGTAAAGTGTTTGCCTTTTGCGGACTTGTAAGAAACCAAAGTTTGTGCATTGGTGATTGGTCGACGCAGTTCGCGAGCAGGGTGCTACATTTGGACATATACACAACGTGTATCGCATTGACTGAAAATGACAGGAAAAGCTTATTCGTACTCCGTCGTGTCCGATGTAAACAACCGGGGTTTTTTTTCCGTCTTTTCTCGGGAATGGCGAGACATTAGGTTGGTTTCCTTTCAACCACATGTTTGATAAGTAAACAATAAAAACATGAAATTTTTGGGGATTTCAGGACCTAGTGCCCCTTTAACCCTGCAACTGGGAAGTCAAAATTCATTGCATTACATGTAAACCCTTTAAAACCCTTTAGGTGAAAGGTTATTTTTTTTATAAAGTGTTAAAGTAACTGTGTCACACAAAGAGCGCTTCAGGAAAACAGCACTGGGGAGAGTAGTGAAGCGTGACAGAATACGCATGCTTGCCCTGAGCCTTAACCATGCAAAAGAAGTGTACATGTAGATTGTTTTGAAATGTTAAATCCATACTGCACAGAAGAATACCTCAACAAGTTTTGAAGTGTGGCTGCTAACTCTATGGGCAAACGTGTTGAGGCAAAATCTGAGGGAAGTTTGAAGTGCCAAAAAATTGCCAGTATCTATGAATTCTATTTACATCAGTTACTAGGGCAAACAATGTACCTGGTGGTAGATGGCACCATCTTTTCACTGTTACATATGTATAATTTCTAGTAAAGGTAATATACAACATTTGCAAACATGAAAAAAAAAACCAAATTATTATGAAATACCTTGCTAGACTGTAAGTGTAAGTGACTATTGACCTATCGTGGTAGAATCGCGTCAACACAGCTTGTGAAATATTGTCCAATTACACAATATACAAATGGACGTGGAACGCGCAACATCTGAGACAAACAAAACTTAGTGTACAAAAACTCCATAGGGTTGTCTAAGGGGCGTGGCTAACTCGCAAATGGGATAGGTCAATTGTCTCAAGCATCCTGTGAAAATCATGGCACCTGGTGTGCTGTCATTTTCAAGAAAAGCGGAATTTTTGTATCAATTTCCATCGTTGGGAAAAAACTATTTTTTTTTTAAATACTGTCCCCACTTAACCAATTTTAGTTACTCCACATTGAACGGGTGCAAGCCAGCTAGTCTGGTTCCTTGACCTGACAATTCCCTGCTGTCTATAAATTGCTCCGTTTCGTCTGAAGGGTCAGGGAGCCAGACATACAAGAACAGCATTTTTTTCTTGTTTTTTTCCCCCAGCATCTGTGCAACACAAAACTTTAAACAGTGTCAGTGTAACAATATAAATGTTATAAAATACTAACCCCCAAATCCATCCATTTCTGAAAATTACAGCAAAAGCAACATGTTGTGTGTTACCTTTAAGTAGGAAACGTTTCAAAACCGCAATGCTGGTTTTAGCATTTCTGAAATCTGAACCTAGCAAAAGTTCACATTGTTTCATATCATTACCCAATGTTTGCAAGAAAGCAGGATTTGAATACAGGAACCACCAACTTTGTGGAGAATGAATGTGGCATCCTGACGCCACTTTTTTTCATCATACACATATATATTATCTCAACAATGGTCAGTCATTGTAATAATGTTGCAAAACACTCGAATCTGGGACTGAGAAAAATTTCCAATTTTGTTATAGAAAATACTTTGAAAATGCACTCGACTCTCCATAGACTTTGTACATGGCCAAAGAAGTAGCGTCTGGATACTACATTCTTTTCCCTTTGTGGTAGCTGCAGGTGCAGGAGATGCTACCACCTCATCCTGCCAATTTTGTACACATTTGATTCATTTGATATTTCTTTTTTTTGTGTGTGTATGTTCATAATTAGGTGAAATAGAAAGGTGCTTGAAGAAGGTACAGGAAGGAGTAGAAACCTTCGAGGACATCTGGCAAAAGGTACATGAACATGTAGGTAGCTGTGGATTGCAAATTCTAGACAAGGAAATTCAACAGTTGATTGAATAGTGAAATGAAGGTTTACTTTGGACTTTGGACCTAAATAAAAGATTGGCATGCACTTCACTGCCCCAATGTCTGAGCAAGAAAGTGAGATTGAAGTAACAGGAAAACAAAGTAATGATGTGACAGAGGCTAGGCAAACACAGTTGTAAAAGTGCTTCCAAACTTGAGACAAATCCCAGTGACCATTAGGAGCTGTGATATACACAATGTAGTACATCATAGTGCACGAACTACCATGGCCAACTGGTCTAGATCACATAATTACGGCATTGTGTTGGAGATTACTGTAGTTGGTACATGTATGATTATCTGCAGGTCCATAATGCAACCAACAGTAACCAGAAGGAAAAGTATGAGGCGGATCTCAAGAAAGAGATCAAGAAACTTCAGGTGAGTTCCTGTGGACTTTTAACATCCATAAGGATCTGCCCAGTGGATCAGGTGCCTTTCCCCCAGTTGCTTTGTCCAAAAGTTGTCTTTTCACACATTTTTGACAAATTTGTATGTCAAGCAAAAAGGATGAATAGGTTTTCCTTTCCATTAACCCCAGCCATCCCCAACCCATCAAAATCCAACTGCAAGTTTTGTTGTTGGAATCTGTTGGAGTGAGTACTGCACTAGTAAACTGATTATGCTTTACCTGGTGTTAGGCGTACCGCCATAATCAGAGTCCAACAGTTAAGGTGTATGAGTTACCATATGGTGTTGGATTTTGCAGGAGTGAGGATGGTTCCTAGTAAATCACTCAAAGGGGTTTAGGGTTATTCATTTTATTACTGTGAAATAACCATTACAAGTTATTGGTGGAACATGGTACTTAATATCATCTTTGTTTTGGGTTCACAGCGGCTGCGAGATCAGATCAAAACGTGGGCTGCCTCCAACGAAATCAAAGACAAGAGGACACTGCTTGAAAACAGGAAACTCATAGAGACGGTAAGAAGTCTTATTTTTAGTTTATTTTGGAATGTCCGTATAAGGAGATGCTCTCTTTATGTTGAATTTGTTATGTTAACCCTAACACGGCTTAACCCTGATGCCCGAAGCTCTCTTGCCCAGAAGCAGCCTGAATCCTCCAATATCCCCAGATGCAGGCATGCAACTTTTCCTCGGATCCACTGATTTCCTCGTTTTTTACTTCTCATGAATGCCATTACAAGTTGAAAATACTAAGTTGTGTGTGGTTTGGAGTTTCCTCGTTTTTTTTTAATTCCCAGTTGCATGTCTGCAGATGGCAAAGAGTTAAAAACCCTAAAGCACGTGAATCCTTCAAAATCAACCACTTTTTGTCGCTGGAGGCCTCTACCTGGATCCTTCGAAATCCTCCACTGGATTTGCTGGCATGTTATCACATAATGGGATTTCAATGCTCTTATGAGTTCATTAGCATGTGTAACTTATTGAACTCCTCCATTGTTATCTTGCGTTGTGGATTGGCAATGCCAAGGCCCTAAACAGTTGGAGTAAAGAGGCTGTACAATAAATAGTGGTATTTTCTGGATGCCTGCCCAAGAATACAGGCATAAAACAAGTAACAGCCTGAATCCTCCAAAAGTCATTTTCGGCACAATCAGCCAGAGCCTCAATCCTCCCAATTCACCTAGCATCAGATTGGACCTGATGACCTGGATCCTCCATTATCCTCCAGAGGCAAAATCCTCTTACGCCCTCAATCCTGCAAAAGTTCTCCGATGCTTCAATTTTTCAAAGGTCCTCAGTCCAAAATCCTTCATTTTGCAAAGAGGATTTTGAAGGATTTAGGAAGGTCAGGGTTAACCAATCAAGAATCTGATATTCAAACTGTAAAGAGGGAGTTGGACATGTACGGGGCAAAATAGACGGTGTTAAAAAGCAAGACACACACATTCTGATTTGAGGTGCTGATGAATAATTACCCATGCAAGTAGATGGATTTGCAATCTGTTCATTTGGTTGGGTAGTCAAACATACCATGATGAAGGCATCTCTTGCGAGCAGCTCTGAAGGGTGCTTACTGGTTATAGCTCGTAAGACAGTCAGACTTGCGCAGAAGGTAATCACTTTCCGTCCATTTTACTCCAACAATGCAGCAAATGGAGAGATTCAAAGTTGTGGAGAGGGAGACGAAAACGAAGGCGTACTCAAAGGAAGGCCTGGGCCTGGCCACCAAGATTGACCCGATCCAGAAGGAGAAGGACGACATCACCATGTGGCTGGCGCACTGCATCGAGTCGCTCAACATCCAGGTGGACCAGTTTGAGAGCGAACTGGAGAACATACTGTCCAGCTCCAAGAAGAGGAAGGTCCCCGCAGATGTAAGTTGGCTTAACTCTTGCCCTTTTGGTGTATTTGGGTGTCATTTTTACTAGCCTTGACCAAGCCTGTCAAGCCAAGCTTTTTCCTTGAACAAACGGTCCGGCAGCCGTTTGACCCGGCGCGTTGTCACGGCACACGGCGCAGCCCCCTGGGTAGGGCCGCTTTGCCTGTGCGATACGCCCAAGACACAAATCCGCACTGTACACACGGACATACAAAACATACAGTAACCATGCCGTGGGAGTCACGCGGAAGACAGCCTTGATGCAACGGTATATTCTCATTATGATAATAAAGTATGCGCTGTGGTAAATAGCCTTCTCTCATTGGATAATGGCTGACAATAAAATGAATATTCATCACTACTGCGCGATGCTGTCGAAGGTCAATAAACTTTGTACACGTGCGTGTGGTTTGTTTTGTTTGGGTTAAAGTGCACAGGCTCTGATTGGTTATCGTGTGAAATATGTGCATCAGAAATTTTCGGCCGATATCAGCTGAGAATTTAAAGAAACACATAAAGAATTGGCCACGGTTGCGTCAAGGCTGTTTTTCGCCTCGACTGCGGCCGCGTAGTGGTTACTGCATGGGGTGTGTGTAGTACGTACGTAGGTAGGTACTGTATATGTACCGGCAGAGAGCGCCGTACATGTACACGTACCGGCAATGTGCGCGGCGTACGTGTGCCGTGACAAGTAGGGCAAAACGGCTGCCGGACGGGCCGTTTGTCAGGGAAAAAGCTTGGCTTGACAGACTTGGTCAAGGCTTCATTTTGACATGCCAATACATTGAAGTTGCATGCTAGCAAAAATGCCTAGGAAGTTAAGGTTAATATAATCTTCAAACACAAGAAGAGTTTTGCATACATTTTTTGATGAATTTTGCATTTTCAGAAGCAAGACAGAGTAGAAGAGCTGCAGAGTTGGGTAGAAAAGAACAGGTTTCACATCAACAAGCTGGAGACGTTAATGAGAATGCTGGACAACAGCACGATAGAGGTTGACCAGGTCAGTGTATCCCCCCCCCCCCCCCCCCGATCAGGCATCCTTATCATTAAACTTTGCATACTGTAGTTAAGGGTAGCACTTACAAGTGTAACTAGAACTTAAATTATGGCATAAACCTTTGTAGCCACAGCCACTTCATCAGATGCAAAGAAGAGATACAACCTAAGTCAGAGTTAATATAATGTCCGCAGGGAGAGTTTGAACCTCTGTCGTCCCTTTACAAAACAAGATACAGGTTTTTGTTTTAGCATCTTCACCACTGAAAGTGTAGTTATGCACTGTGTTGTAGATGGTTCTCACAAATCTGTTCTGGCTAAGCTTTTTTTTTTTGATATCGTAAATCTTTTGGTATTTCACAGATCAAAAAAATCAAGGATGACGTTGAGTATTACATCGACTCATCGCAGGAGCCAGATTTTGAGGAGAACGAGTTCATCTATGATGACTTAGATATCGACGAGGAATGTAAGTTGGTGAAAAAAAAAATCAATATATTCATTGAGTACAGGTCATAAAACTACGAGTGTTTCATGTGGCATTTTCAGATGTTCAAATGTGGCACAGTGAAACCGTGAACTTTAGGATACAAATGGTTTTTTCTATAATAGCAAAGCATTGTATTGGGTTTGTTGATCCTTGATCAATAAATTGGACTTTCACTTTGCTTTTATTTGATTTTTTTTACATACTCCTTTTTATATTTAGTTCTAGATGAGGTTTCGACAAAATCATTTGTTCATGAAGGGTGTTACAGTCGAGTCTCGTTAATACAAACTCGTTCGGACCTAGCCAAATTGTTTGTTATATCAGAATTTTGTATTAAGAGGAACATCAGTCCCATTCCTTGTGCACATAAATGCACAGTCGGGACCAAAGTTTTATGTTTGTTATAACCGGAATTTTCTATTAACAGAGTTTGTACTAACGAGAGTCGACTGTATATCAATTTGTACATCTATTAGAAACACCAATTTTTTTTGTTTTACATAAATACATATCGTTGCAAAGATATTTATGGATAAACACTCTAAACAAAACAACAAACCTGACAAACATACCTTGCACCCTTCCCTAAGTGTAACATGTTGAGCACTTAATTTTATGATGCTGATGAAATAACGAATGAATAATGTTAACCCCCCGATTTGTGTGTTGTTTTGTGATTGACCATTTTCTCTCTCCAACAAACATGCAGCGTTAAGTAATGCTTTACTTACTGAATCACCAGACGACGATGTGATGACCAATACCTCGGGGGATACGCCCATTAGTAGCTCGCCCACGCTACTCCCCAGCCCCAGCTCAAACCATTCCAAAGACAAGAACGACGAGGACAAGAAGAGAACGAGGTCCACGGACAGTGAGGTTAGACTGGCATTTCAGACATTAGGGCCTCTGATTTACCATTTCAACAACAGGCTCGATCGGAAATATCTCGGAAGCTGCGGGCCAACAAATTCATGTTCATGCATGGGTCACGTGATTGTGCCCTGTAATTTCTGGAAGGAGTAGTGTTTTGAGTTTTAAAAAAAAATCAGGTTTTTGACCCCAGTGACCCCATGATGACCTTTGACCCCAGTTTGGTCATGTGACATGTTGGGGCTGGGCTACTGATACGTTTGACAAAGTTTGGTTGAAATCGGTCAAAATATGTAGGAGCAATAGACAATGTCAGCGTTTGTTACTAACTAGCTAACAAACGGAGAGACATGATGATTTGTTGAGCTGCTATCCCGCAGCTAAAAATGTCCATTTGCCATTTCAGGAATTTACACATTCCTTTTTCAATTGTGTGAAAACAATTCCTGTTCTATTTTCTTTTGTTCGTCAAGTATAATAACAATATTAACCCTAACCCCCTAGGCCCTTTTGCTGAGAACTATCCTCAATCCTCCAAAATCTTCCAAAATTTTGCAACAGCACCTAAATTCTTCAAAATTGTCAGTCCTGCCTCAAAATACATTCATCGTCAATCCTCCAAAATCCTCCTCATCCCACAATTTTGCACTGTGTTTAAATGAAGGATAACCAACGCCTAAATCCTTCAAAATCATCAGACAGTCCTGCCTCAGAACAAGGGCGGATCCAGGGGGGGGGGCCAAAGGGGGCCATGGCCCCCCCCCCAAAACGAAACCAAATTTTTTTTTTTTTTTAATGTGACATCGCAATAAAGGCAGGCAATGAGTACACCACCATCTTTTCCTCAAAAAAAATTGGTTAAAGTGGTCAGAAATTGCCTCAGATTGCACCACAGAGCATCTAGAATCCAAAAAATTTTCGGGGCCCTCACGGGCCCCGAACCCCACGCCGTAATTTTTGAGACCCACTTTTTGGGGGGGACCAAATTTTTTTTTGGCCCCCCCCCAAAATTGTGTTCTGGATCCGCCCTTGCCTCAGAATGCATTGATCCTCAATCCTCCAATATCCTCCTATGCTTCAACCACCATTCATCCTCAATCCTCCAAAATCCTCATGTGCTTCAAACACCATTCATCCTCAATCCTCCAAAATCCTCCTATACTTCAATCACCATTCATCCTCAATCCTCCAAAATCCTTATGTGATTCAATCACCATTCATCCTCAATCCTCTAGAATCCTCCAAAACTGCCAGGAGGATTTTGGAGGAGTGAAGAGGGTTTGGGTTAACCAATTAGTAACTGTAGCACCCAAAACCGCCCTGCCTAGTACTCCTTGTAGCGCCTAAAAGCGCCCTAGCACTCTCCACCCAGGAGTATAAATGGGTACCTGTAAGGGTAGAGGACGAAATATGCGCTGATATCAGCTGCCGTGTGGTCTCATGGCCTGATGAACGGGGAAATAATTGTAAAGCACTCTGAGATTGTTGATACAATGGAAAGTGCTATATAAGCATTACATTTTATTTTATTTATTTTTATTGATGTACATAAATATCTCATTTCTTAAAAATTCTGACTTTAAAGGGAATATACAACATTTGCTTTTGCAGCAATTTACAGAAATTAATGGATTTGGAGGATTAGTATGTTATAGCAAATATTGTTATACTGACTTGTTTCACGTTTTGGGTTCGGAAATGCTGGAAATTCCAAGAAAACCAACCATGTTCTTGTAGTCTGGTTCCTTGACCCCACTTAAGATGAGACGTTGCAATTTATAGACTTTGGGGGATTGTTGGGTCAGAGAATCAGTCTAGCAGACTTGTACCCCTTCACAGATGTGTAATCAATTGCAAAGAAAATGCGGAATAACTAAAAATGAAAAATTAGGAGCAATTTTTGAAAAAAAAGCTAGTTTTCTCCAACGATGGTCGTCCGACCGGCGTTGGCAAAATACAAGTTTTCTTGAAAATGTCAGCACACCAGGAGCCACAATTTTACAGAATGCTTTAGAATGTCATTCACTATCAATCCAGTAAAATATTTCGTTATAATTTGATCGTTTTGTTTTTTGATGTTTGCAAATGTTGTATCTTCCCTTTAAGCTCATTTTCTGACGACTGGTCACGTATTGTGGTCAAGTCACATGCTAATCAAAGTCCTCCCAGTTTGATCTGAATTTAATCCTGAGTCTGAATAAACCCAAGTCCATTAAAATAGTGTTCCTTCAAAACAGGTGCTTATGATGCAAAAACAGCAGCTCTTTGTTAATTGTGTTTTTTTTTTTTTTTTTTGTCTTTGTACAGTCATCGTCATCGCCAAGGAAAGCGGGCAAAAGTGCAACGTCATCGTCATCGTCGTCGAATCGGCCGACAATCGTCCGAGCGGCGTCAACGCCCAGCACCACTCTTGTCAACTCGCTGCCGTCGACGGGGATGTCGATAAACCAATCCAACACGAACAAGAGCAGTCTCAGTAAAGCCAACAGGTGGGGGCAGGTCATTTTGAATGTTAGGTTTCACTGCCTGTCACTGACTGAACTTAACAAGTACTGTGCTGGTAGAGATTGTACAAGAGTTTTAATATCAATGACCCTGTTTTCGTCCTTCAGCGTACCGGTGCCCTCAACACAACATGCAATAGCACAACCACCGTCAGGGCCTGCCTATGCGGTAGCAGCAGGGGCACAACACAATTCCAGCAGCAGCTCACAAGGTCAGAATTATTGATCAATTAATCACAAGCAGTTCTTAACAAAACTGTAATGTGGTGTCTGTCATGTCATCGATTGTTAAAGTCAACTACCATGTGGCAGCTAATAAGCAATGAGTAATACAGTAAACTCCGGCTAAGTCGACGCTCTCGGGACCCGAGAATTTGTGACGACTTATGCGAATGCCGACATCTGCTGCAAGTCGTCATTTTGCTGACTTACATGAATGGCCTTTTTGCACACATGATTCATTGCACTAATTGGCTTCGATTTACCTTGGTTTATCTTCTTAATGCTTGAGTTGAATCCAGCAAATTAATCCTCCAATTTTATCATCGTTTTGGATATTGATAGTGGAGACCACGTGTACAAAATAGTAATACATGTACGTGCACAGTTATCGTATACCACGCACACATTGGCTGCATCATTGACGGCATCATTCAATAAGACGACCCTCAAAATGGACAGAGCACATATGTATAGACTAGAGGGGGTACTGGTATTGATATGCTCATGATGCATATGCAGTTGGAAACCCTTTGGCTTGGCTGTGCAGCGATCACGGGCCATGCCAAACAATTTTCACTTGACACTTCTTGCCAACTGCAGTACAGGAAGTCAGGCGATGTCAATGCCCGATTTTTTTAATGCTGACTTACACAAAGGATTTTGTTACGCTTTCTATGGAAGGGGGACCGAGAGTAACACAACTTCTTGAGCGAAATGGCGACTTATAAAAGCCAACTTAGAAATAAAAAATTCAATGGAAATGCATTACAGACAATCGGGACTTTAGTCAGATGGCCGACTTGAGCGATTTGACGAGTTGTACGATGTCCACCTGGCCGGAGTTTACTGTATGTCTGTAGCTTTCTTGTTTACCTAATGTTTTCTGCAAAAATATTGCAGCCCACTTATTCCCAATCACTATTATTCATTAAATATAAACACCGCAAAAAGAGAAAGTCCACACTCATTGGAGGGGTCATAATTTTGAATCTGATCGTCTTATGATGACATCATTTGTATAGACTTTTGGGGAATGTTGTTAGCTACATTTTGATACCCCGTTTATTACCAAAGACTGAAAATCGTCCAAGATTAACAACGGTTTATGAAAAATGAGGAAAGGAGAAATTGCTAAGCCTAACCACAGATACCTGTAATTTGCCCCTATCAAACTGCACAGTGCCCGAGCAAAGTGCGGGTAATTCATTTCACGTGCTCCCATACATACAAGCACTGTGCGATCGGTATTCCCTGCCGTTCGTTTCGGGCAGTGTGACATTGTCAGGCAGCAATTTCCACTCGCGTACTCTTTAAATTTGCAACTTTTCAAACTGGATCATTTTTCATAAACAGTTGTCAATGTTGGCAAACAGTGGTCGTTGTTAGCAATGTGACGACATACCCCGTGATGTTATCATAAGATGATCAGATTCAAAAAGTGTGACCCCTCCAATGAGTGTGGACTTTCTTTTTTTTTTGGCGGTGTTTAGATTAAATGTGCATAATGATTGCTAATGAAATACAGGGCGAGTCAAAAAAATGAAACCTAAGTGTTGGGGCCATTGTTTTAGGGAAGTTCTGCATGTAGCATTTTCAAAATCTGGGATATGAAAGCCCAATTCATCAGCTTTCTTTTAGTACAAGAATCATTCAAATCACTCATGTACTTTTCAAGTTACGGAATTTTAAACACAACCACCGTTTTAAGGTTCTGTCCACGGATCGCAAAAAACTTCAGTGTTCTTTCAGCAAAACGAAAACAAATCACATAGGGATTCGTTTGAATTGTTTTCGTGTTGCTAAAAGAACGTACACCTTTTTGGTGATCCGTGGACAGAACCTTAAAACGGTGGTTGTGTTTAAAATTCCGTAACTTAAACAGTACATAAGTGATTTGAATGATTCTTGTACTAAAAGAAAGCTTATGAATTGGGCTTTCATATCCTAGAATTTGAAAGTGCTACATGCAGAATTTCCCTAAAACAATTGTCCCAACATTTGGGTTTCGATTTTTTTTTTACTCGCCCTGTACACATCCTTTTTTCACAATGTCGTGGGTGTTCTATTTGCATACCTCAGGTTCAACAGGGCAAGTAAGAGTTATTCAGCCGCAGATCGGCCGACTAGTCCACTCACCGCCGCCCACGCAGGTACACATCGACAACACGCAGCAGCCAAGACCGGACCTCAACGGGCCCCATACAGGTAGTCAGTACCTCTCTCAGTCTAAGACTTTATGCCATAAACCCTAACCTCCCCGACTCCATCAAAATCCATCCCCCCAATTTGGTGGATTTTGGGGGATTTGGTCCTGCGGGCCTGGTTTGACTAAATTTGATGGAGTATGATGGACTTGGACCTGAAGGCCTAAAGCAAAGCTGCATTGGAAGCAGTGTGATTGATGGTTTTTGGCGGACTTGGTCCAGTACTTAGTAAAAGACAGTAGGGAGTTAGGCGCATCAAGCCAGCTCAACAGAAATAGAAGAAGGCAAACATATTTTTCTGAAACAGTGGTGAATTGTTAGTGTTTCAGTAACTTATTGTGACAAAAACCTGTCCTTGTGCCCCTGCATTTCCAAAATCTGCATTTTCAGAGTCATTGGCAAAATGACTCACAGTTTGCCTTACCTGATGGTAAGAGCCGTGTATAAAACTCATTGTGTTTGTGTCTGAAGGCACAGGGTGGATCTTGGAAGATGTAGAAGCAGAAGAATGGAGAAATGGGGAAAGATTTCAGTGTTGTTAATAGAAATAAGCAAGATAAACACATGGACACGGGTGTGCACAAATGTTCCTATTTATTTTCCATCCGTTTCATAGATTGTGCGTGTCGCAATGTAACACTTACCTTGTATGTTACAGTCATAAGAATAAATGCTTTTACGTTTGTTTCTACTCTACCAACAGCATTCAACTTGTCAAGTATGGAAAACTCCATCGACCACATATCCAAAACCGTCGTCTCCAAGAACAGTATCCCAAGCCAACCCACTCCAGCGCCGGCGCCCACCACCACGCCACCATCAACGGCGCCCACGCCTGCCCAAGTCACACAACAGCAGCAGCAACAACGACAACAACAACAACAACAACAACAACAACAACAACAACAGCAACAACAACAGCAGCAGCAGCAGCAGCAGCAACAACAGCAGCAGCAGCAGCAACAACAACAACAGCAGCAACAACAACAACAACAACAGCAACAACAACAACAACAACAACAACAACAGCAGCAACAACAACAACAACAACAACAACAACAACAACAGCAGCAACAGCAGCAGCAACAACAACAACAACAACAACAACAGCAGCAGCAGCAACAGAAGACATTGCCAACACCAGTCCCCGAGCCAGTGGAGAGAGTGCCGACGTCGCAACCAGCACCAGTCATGCCAACTCCGAAGCCATCAGAACCGGTCATGACAAACGGGCCCATCAGTCCAAAAACGAAAGAGGTAGGAATCTAAGCATGCCCTTTAATACTAAACACTCTGTAACAGAAACCAAAGACAACTATTGTGCGTATACGTAGGTCGAACCAGCTATTCTCCATTTTTGTTATTCCATTTCACATATCCTGCCCTTCACGATTTCCAGTTTTTGTCATGTCAACTAAAAATGGCAGAGCAAGTCATTCTTTCAAACATTCTTTTGACAAAATTTAAATTTTCAATACCAGTAAAAACTGAGTAACACGCTTTGCATTGATCGATTTTGTTTCCATTTTTGCATTAGCCTTTTTGAGATATGGTAGACACAATAAGGGGGCAATGTCTGAAGTGGATTTAAACTCTCTCGTATTTACCCAGAGTTATCAACATCCAAATAATGCCCTACTATTGTATCGATATCCAAACAGGCTAGTTGCTGCAGCTGTGCTGTCTTAGTTTTTGGTGCCACAAAGCTGATACCTTGTAATGGAAATATTGCAAGTAGTTATCAAGCATCCGTCTTTTCAAAGTATTGAGCAGTAATGCACCATCTCTCAGGATTATTCTGAGTTTGCTTGTCAGAGGCAAACCACAATATAATAATCAGCAAGGGCTTGTTTTTTTTTTAAAAACCTTTTTGCTAATGGGTAAATATTTTTCAGTTGTGCTAGTGGAATTAGTTTTGCACGTGAATGTATAATCTTCAAAGACTATTACCTTGTAGCTTGCAGTGATCTGATGATTGGTCTTTGTGCGAAAAAGCTTTTGTTTGGTTTTGAATGCATGAGCACGTGCTTATTCTCTAAAATTGTGACAATTTTAGTGATAACAAGTGATATGCTTACTTGACAAAAATCAGGACAGGAGCTAATTTTGTTTGTCTGTTTTGTGTTTTATGTGTTTGTTTTGTTTGTTTGTTTGTTTGTTTTTGTATTTTTGTCTGCAAATTACAAAATTGTTGGGCGGGTGTGTGTTTGGTGTCAGTTTCATGCTTTAGCTGGGCACAAAAATTCGGAACAAAGAGTGGAACCATTTTATGGAGTTCAAAAGCAGTATGCACAACAAAGAGCACGCAAAGAGCTTTTCTTTCAAAAGAGAGCATTTCCTTCAAAACATGGGTGCAGTCATAAACTACACATGCATGTTAAAATGCATTCTCAGGAAGTAAAATCGCTTTAAGATTCTCAGCGCAGCCTTCTGCTGAATTAACATGAAGCGGAGAACTACTGCCAACTAGTATCCAACAACCTTCATTTGGTCTACAGTTATCCATAAATGCTTGAATAACATTTGGGGGACCCTGTTGTATTTATATATGTGTGTCTCGTCGATTGTGTTAATGACTTTTTCCTGTGTATTACTGACTCTCTTTGTTGTATGATCTATCGTTTTGTCCCCCCAGGTGTCTCAGTGTGAACTAGTCACCATGTCTCACTATTCCTCAATGGCCCCACGGCTCTTACCTTCGGCCGGGGTCTCTCATGTACGTACTCACTCTCTCTTCCGCTCACCGTCTACTGCACTCGTTTTTTTTTAGATTCCCGTAGTTAACACCGTAGCCTCGTCTCTATCAAAGTGAAGCCCTAATTCTAACTCTAATCTGCATTTTAATTCTGATAATTTATCAATTGACATAATTTCATTCTTTATTTGTCCTTTTTTTGAAATGATGTCTGTTTTTAATCAAGGAATTACAATTTTTCATTTAAAAAAAATGGTTTTACTCCTTATAAAATAAAAGAAGAAACTTCCTTCTTCACTAATTGACATTTCTCGAAGGTGTTATGTAAAGTACTCTTCAATTTTTTTGGGATGAAAGCATTTCTAAAATGTTGAGGCCGGATAGAACAAATAAAAATTCCCAAAGACGGGCACTGACATGAACTGATGTGTATCAAAAATCTATTGCAGATTAGATCCAGAACAAATTGCATTTCAAAAAGTTGAGGCCTAGTGTATCCTAGTGGACCAGTTTGCTTAGACTCGGTCAAAGTTCAATAAAAGAGGAGATTTCAGACCGTTGGTGTCTTGAGACAAGAGTTGATGGATTCTTCTTTGTTCTTATCCCGTCTTTGAGCAGGAAACGAATGATGTCACGGAAGTAGAGAAGGAGTTCAAGGATTACACGGTGGAAAACAGAGGTGAGACTGAAACATTCAGGGTAAAATATCAAGTGTCAGCTCTTTCCTCTTCTGCCCTTGACCTCAAAACATCTTGCTTATAAATTTTAATTTGAGGCATTATTTATTCCTAGATTCGCAGTATTGTGGGTTAAGGCCCCCCCCCCCCAAAAAAGTCTTCGGTTTCTGGTATGGAGCTTGCCCAAAAAGTGGTGTGGCGACGCGGCTTTTTTTGTTTTTTCTTCAAATGTCAGCTGATGTCTGCAAATGGTGCCCGACTAAATTTAGTGCAAAATATATGGGAGCCCAGAGAGGCCACATAAAGCTTATACTTGATCGTAACCCCATCTAAAAGCATGTTAAAATTGTGCAGCAGCAGGATTCCAGTCAAACCAGTGAGTTTGGCGATTTTGAGACATCATCTTACATTGAAAAATTTTTTTTTTAAATTTTGCCGATGCGCTTGGCTACGGCGACACAAGCACATACCAGAAACCGGAGACTGTTTTTTTTTTGGGGGGGGGGGTCTAAGTCACCATATTTTTTTTCTCGCTGATACTTTCCATGACTTAACCACAACCTTCCATTTTGTTTAACAAGTGGTTTGCTGATCTGTTGATCAAAGTTTGTTGATCATTGTGTTACTCCTTACTAGATCAGTCATAATCCATATCCAGGAGCTTTACAGAAATTTGACCTTTGGAGAAGTTGGCTTTAATTTGAAGATGGCTTAAATAGAACCCTGCCAAAGATCAAAGATGAAGCCATAAATATCTGAGTAAAATCTTTCACAGGCGAAACTGCAGATGGCTCATTATAAAATCCCTAACCCTCCAGAGTGTTTTGGCTAGAAATCCTGCCAAACGCAGCAACATGCAACACTTGTCTAAGTGACAAGCCTGCCCAGTGCAGCAAGATCCATCAGGCCAGAAGTCTCAAGGCCAAACTGCCTCAGAGTCTGTGGTCCCCGAACACAACAGGATACAACTGTGGCATTGTTCTATGGGACTACCTCTCATTGCCTCAGAAGCGGCCGTTTATGCACTGGTGTTGGTAGCTGAATGCATTAAAGTGCACCAGACTTTTCCACCTGATGCACTGTGTTGTGTCTGGCAGGATTAGGGTTAAACAACCAGTTATGGTTCCTTGGAGCACATTCTGTATGCTTGTCGCACTATTACTTACGTTGAGCTGGCTTGATGCCCCTGAAAAGTTTCCCTGTACATGTACAGGTAAATAGCAATTGGTTTCCTGCAAAGAAGTAAATTTAGATAATGCCTGAAAGTTACTTACAATTTATGTTTTTCTTTTTAGCAATATACGAAAGTACTTCTCAGACGGACACCAGCTCACCCCCAATGCAAGAGGCCATCATCCCGCCGTCGCTGGGCGTAGCGCCCTTGGGCCCGGCAATCATGTCCAAGGATCAGCTGTACCAACAGACCATGATGGAAGCCGCGTTTCACCATCTGCCTCACCCGTCAGACTCGGAAAGATTACGGTAATCATTTTCCAGGAAGTGGCTTGGTCCCCCAGTTTGGTATTACAACTGTGCGCGTGCACCTCGAAGATATGACTACATGTATTTTCACGTCACATAAGAGGTCACGCTTTTGAAAAGTTAAAAAGTGACAACCCAGGTTTTGGGGCTACATCAGCTTAAAATAGCACCCACTGCACCCCGACAGCAAGCTGATACTCCAGCTCGCACATTGTACATTTTTTGGGTTTTTTTGTTCGGACTATAAGATACTTATTCCATACTAGAATTTGAAGACATTTTGCTTTGCATTCCCTATTTTGGTCAGGCAGATGACCTATTTTCGCCTTAAAACTGTATTCATATGCAGGCATGATATGTTTGAGACTTAAGTCTGAAATCAGACCTTTTGAATCTGAGAGAAAGACATTATCAGTACAGAAAGAAATGCATCTTTCTGACCTTTTATCAAATTTTCAAACTTTTAAAAAAATTGACAATATCACTGCGTATGGTCATCCCTTTTATTAAAGTTACAGGGTTTTTTTCAATTAAAGATTTTATTTTGGCCTGTTGACTTGTTTGAAGAGATATTTCAAGTAAACTAATTAAGTTGAAGGCAGAAAAAGAAGCCCACATTTTCTGAAAATCAGGTCCCACTATCCTTAATGATTTTCTTGTGCTATCCAAACCCAGTCATGACAAGACAATTCTAAATGCCAGCTTCTCCCTCTTGTGTTCAGGAACTACCTTCCACGGAACCAGTGTCCTACACCCCTGTATCACTGTCAGGTCATGCCTGCCCAGATGGACTCGTTAGATTTCTTCCAGAGGTTGTCAACGGAGTCGCTCTTCTTCATCTTCTATTACCAAGAGGTAGGCAGCAGCGCCGCATCCTTAAACAGTCCTTAGGACTACCCTGCTAAATCCAACAGAGTCCAACCGTAGTTTCCTGCTCAATCCACTGTGCCTTATGCTCAGTTGTCTGCTAGATCCAACAGAGTCCAACTTGGCGTTATAATGCGGTTCAGTTGTCTGCTGAATCCAACATTTTGCATCAGGAATGTACACCAGGGGTTTACTGCTCAATCCAAGAGGCTCCATCAAGTATATGATATAGTTGGATCCTGTTGGATTCAGCAGGGTTAGGGTTAACATTGGAGGCTACTTTGAGAATAAAAAAATTGTCTTGTAGGTGGTGGAGTTTTTAATGCTACAGACTTATTCTTGAAGCTGTATATTCCCGAAGCTGTATATTTCCGGGGAGGGAATTCAGAATTGGAGATATTTTTCATCAATTAAGAATGTAGGTGGTGGAGTTTTAAGAACTACGGACTCATTTTTGAAGCTGTATTTTCCTGGGGATTGAATTCAGAATTGGACATATTTTTCATCAATGAAGGGGAAATGACACCATTTTCTAAGTACTGGAAGTAGAAATATCACATTTATTAAACTTTAAAAAAAATTACCTTTTGCAAATTTTGAATTATTACAACATTAACTGATGTTAATAACTGATGTTGTCATTGCGACACCTTCATTCCCTAAAAAATATTGCTTTTTTACATTTTTCATAAATAAATTCTGACATGAAGTGCCAACACGTATTTCTGCTCACCACAATACTTTGAAGTTATACAGATAGCTATATCAATGCCAACTATAAAAAAGAAAGGGCCATTACTTCAACCCAACAAAAATCCAGTAAATCCTACAAATGGTGCAATACTGAATCCATTAGAATCCATAACACACCAAGAAGATTTTATAATGTCTTTTTAATTTATGGCTTAGATCAAATGCTTGGTTAAAATTTCACCGATGAATAATAATATAATAATAATAATAACTTTATTTATTGATGGTAGCCATGTCACCTCGGGAATGATTTTCAATGGGCCATCATTAAAAAATTACTATAAAAATACATTGAAAAATGACAGGTAAATTTCATGAGATCCTGGTAAGATTAAAATACAGTATAAATAATAGTAATAAATAATTATAGAGGAGGCTTGTAATACAATTCTGCAATTAAGGATACAATAAAATACAAGGCTAAAATTCAACACTCAAGGAGACCCAGACCAGTCCAGACTCCCAGAACATACAGACCGGAGAGACGGAGAGACAAAAGGACAGGACACAAGAATCACTGACTATCAAAGACTGCCTAAATAATGACATCCAAGACCTTGAAAAATTGAGGACTATACAAACCATGAATATCATAAAGCCCTAAAGACTCAATAAAAAATACATTAAGCAGTTACCCAGTGCTTGAAGAAATACCAGAGTACGCTGGATGAAGATGTAGTTGGTTCTCTCGTTGTTTTTTTTTCAGGGAACTAAAGCCCAGTACCTTGCTGCAAAAGCTCTGAAGAGGCAATCGTGGAGATTCCACACCAAGTACATGATGTGGTTCCAACGGCACGAGGAACCCAAGACAATCACGGATGAGTACGAACTGGTAAGCATACAGAACTTCTTGGGGGATTCGCTTATCAAATCAGTTTTGGTTTTGTGATGAAGGTTCATCGCATACAGTTAAGTTCTGTTCAGCCTAAAAGGAATGTTCAAGAGCATTTATTATTTTTAAAGTTAATTTATTTCAATTTTAATATGTTTCTATTCCCTAGATAATGAGTGCTAGTTAGACTCATATTCCTCTCGAACAGTTTTTTTTTTTTCCTTCGTTTTTTCCAAACCTTTGCCTGTGCAGGCATATTTGTAAAACTATTACTAACACTACACAGCAATCGTTGGAGCAATATCATTCGAAATATCTTTGTTATTGTGCGATTCGAAACTGTTGCCACTGAAACAGTGACAATTACAGTTACTGTGACAATCCTTTATAAGTATGTTCTTAATATGGACTGAACTTCCTCACAATTGTCAACACAAATAGACTCTATTGCACGACCAAATTAAAAATGGTGTATGCTGTCAGTGAGAAACCCTTACGATTCCCCATAAATCATGTTGAGAGAAAAAGCTAATCAAGGATATTCTCTATAATCTTCAGCCTTCAAAAGACTTAAGTTGTTATGGGCCGATTGTTGTGAGTCATGAAGTTATTGGCAGCAGTGGCACTTTACTACCCAGAACAATCCAGTGGACAGACAATGGCTTATCCATAAACTATGACCTCTAACACTGTGTCTATATCTGACGGTGGAAATGTCAGTCTTTGTATTTAAGCCAAAAAGAAAAGAAAAAAATTGTGTGTTTTGTGGTACACTGACCTACGTGTATCTAGATTTTTGGGGGACAAATTGTTGATGTCAAACTTTTATTCCCACAATTGGCAAAAACTTTAAATCGAAGTATATTTTGAAAATAAATAAGTCTTCCCTTTGCAATTTTTTTGTTATTCGTTTATAGTAAACAAAGTAAGTATAAAAGCCCAACAAACAAGCGTAAAAAAGTGACAAAATAAAATTATTTTCCTACCTACGTACCTGGATAATATTAAGGGAACATGTGTTACCGTAAACACACTATTTTTTTGGCCTTGGAGGTCATCATCTTCCGTTGACCTCTTTTCTTATCACTGCAAATAATGCAGAAATCCAGAAGTCTATTTTACTACTGTTGATATTATGATAACCCCCAAAATCTCAAGGGTAATTAATAATAAAATGCAGCTGTGCTGTCGCCACTGATTTTGTTTGCTGTCTTGGTCACGACTGATGGTTTTATAAAGTCCACATATTATGATTTTTAGTAATTTAAAACCAGGTTTTTAGGACTGGACGTAGTTTACCTCAATTTGAAGATCTTTTGGGGTTCATTTAAGTTGAACAAAGAAATTGTCTGCGATCTCTGGATTGCTGTTCAGATGCTTTACCAAAAGAGCTATACATCCATTCATGTATGTTGATGGTTCCGCATTATGTCAATGTCTGCGTTCAAGGGGCTGGATAGCTCCGTTGGTTGAGCACCAGAACGGAAATGCGGAGGTTGCAGGTTCAAACCCCCTCCAAGCAATTTCTGTTTTAAACTTTTAAAAAAAAATTTAGTGCACCTAGTCAAGTTACTTTTGTGGCTTATTTGTCAATTTGAAGATGTCATAAATTGGATACAATTTGGATTTTGTAAGAATATCTCATGTTGAAATGTAATGGATTGTCCCTTTTTTTTTGGGGGGGGGGAATGTTATTGTTATTAACCCTAACCACCCCAACTCCATCAAAATCTATCCCCCCATTTTGGTGGATTTTTGGGGACTTGGTCCAGAAGGCCTGGCGTGACTAAATATTTATGGAGTTTGATGGACTTGGGCCTTATGGCCTGAAGCAGTGCTAGGGGTATCCATTTGATTTTGCCTAGCTTCCTGTACTGCTACTGTGATAAAAGCCATGTGTAGCAAGTCCATGAATGTCAACCAGTGCGTCAGTAGTGGATACCGTACCTTTACAAAAATGTATGCCATGTACAGTTTTGTATTGGACGCACAGTGATTGATGGTTTTGATGGACGTGGTCCAGTTCCTAGTAAAAGACGCTAGGGAGTTAGGGTTTAGGCGGGGCTGAAGCAATATCACTTCAGAATATATTATTGCTGCGTTGGATTGCTTTCAAAGAGTGAACCTTCTGATCCCAATTGTTCAGCATTCCTTGAACAGACTTGTGAGCAAGCTGACCTACTTTTAACCTGGCTTATCTGATTTTAATCGTCTTCTTTTATATGAAATCTCTCTGCATCAAAAGGAAACAATGATTGAAAAATTGTTCTTTAACCCATTTTGATAAGCAAACAATCGCACCCCAGTCCAGTCACATGTGTGTCCAGTGTGTTTTTTATCGTGGGAAAAAGTTCTCCAATTGTTTTTTTTTTCTCCAAGAATTGTAAAGAAAAAGTTGGGTCATTTGATCAATGCATTTGTTAACGGGTAATATCATTCAGTTATCAACAATCTGGTAAGAAAATTCTCAGAAAGGGAAAACATGACTGAAAAGTTAGGATAATGTTTGCATAAGCTCGGAAGGTTCACTTATTTGGGCGATTAACAATGCAGTGCGCCACCAAGAGTTTGCCATGGAGAGTCCATTTTGCAAGTTAACGGTCGACAAAACATGGCCCTTTGAATGTAGTTGTCAGTAGACGACTTGAGCTAATATGTTATAGATTGGGGCATATTGGTCTGCCACCTTACTAAAAACACCATATTGATAACAAGAAAAGAAAAGTGCAAACAGATCCTCGAATCATACGCTAACGAAACTAACAATTGCAAATGTCCCGCGCTGCAAATTTGCCGACCATTTCCCACAATGCACTGGGGAAAACTGAACTCTCTGTGGCAAACTCTTGGTGGCGCACTGCATTGTGAATCGCCCGATTTGCCTGAACCCAGATTTGCTCGAGGGATCCAAGTGTTACACGAATGTGCAGAGTTTTGATTTGACAGTAAAAAGGGTTTGCTTTCTGCTCTTTCTCAAAGGGAACATACATCTACTTTGATTATGAAAAGTGGAGCCAACGGAAGAAGGAGGGATTCACGTTTGAGTACCGATACTTAGAAGACAGGGAGTTATAGCAGGGCAAGAGTCCCACAACACACCCCAGGACAAACACCCTTACACAGCGGTGACCGATGGGTCATCATGTGACTATGTACAGTAAGCGATCAGATCTCCGAATGTAGGTACATTTTATCTTGGCATAATTTTACAAAAAAAAACTTACCAGTTTTTTTTTTCTAAGAAAAAAACGAAAATTTAAATAACAAAAAAGTTTTAAGCAGGAAGGTGTTTTTTGCCCGATACCGTTGTAAAAAAATTAAAAGACAGAAGGAGAGAAGAACTAATGAGGTCAATCATGGCGATGATCATAATTGTTACTGATAAACAAAAGAAATTTACACGAGAAAGAAGTTCATTTTAAATTATAATTGACCATAGAGTTTTGTTAACGTTCTACACTGTTGCCTTTTGTTTTTGCAAAAAAAAAATTGATAAAAAATCTGAGAAATGAGTGAGTCTACTTCTGCTTACACTTGACGGACAAATGGTCAAAGACCAGTTTGGCAATGGGTTGGACTTCAAGATACTGGCTATTTCCTATGTCTCCCATCGCATCAAATCTTTAATTATCGACACCACTGTTTAACCATTCTTATAGCTGATCTGTGCCAAGTACATCTCATGTTGGAAACATTGCTGAACTTTTATATTCAGAAGGCAGGTGCAACAAATTTCAATCCTAGTTTGTCCTCTTCCAAGAACTCAAAAGGAAGTCAGTGACATCTTTAAACCCTAACCTTCCCCAACCCATCAAACTCCAACAGTTTTGTTGGAATCTGTCAGGATGGGTACAGAAACTGACAGTCTTTTACATTGGGTTGGGCACACCTCCAGAATCAAAAGTCGAAAATATGTGTGCGCAGTTTCCCATATGGTGTTGGAATTCGCCAGGATGGGTATGGTTTCTAGTAAATTATGGGTTAATTTGTGCTCGGCTGATACCACAATTCCCAGAGATTGGAAAAGATCTGAGTGGGGTTCAATTAAAAAAGTTGTCATACATGTCCTTGGAAATTCAGGCTTCCACTGTAGTATGCCCTCTGTTGACGGAATTTATCGCAATCTGTGTGTGAGTCCGCCATTGAAAAGGGCCCGACTAATAAAAAAAAAAAAGTAGTTACTCAGTGCTGCAATCATTCAACTTCGGATCAGTATTCATTCATACATTTTTGGTCTTTTTTTTTTAGGTCAGAAGTTCCCAAATACTGTATCTTTTAACATTATATTTCTATGGTTTGTAAATTATTGTTGATAAGATTTTTTGCCCTATTTGTCAAACTGTGTATAGTCTGTACAGCAGTTCGGTTTTGTTCTTTTTGTTAAATACTTTTTATGATGAATGTAATGTTTCCACATAAAGTCAGGGGACAACTTTTTTTTTTGGTTTAATTTCTATTTTTTGAAAGCATGGTCTGAAATTTGTTTGGGAACTTCACTATTGAAATATGCAGTCAAGCTTAATTTCTTAAATGAACAGCAACCACAGTTATTAGTTTGATATCATTGTGTGAAAGATAATACCTGTAGCGCATCAGTCCAAATGGCAAAGGTTATTCCTGTACTCCTACCGTAATCCCATGGTTTGACTACATTCCAGATAAAGAACATTAAATGTACCATGGCTTGGGTCCATTCAGCAATATCGTACAGCATAATGAAAGTAAACGTTCTGAAACTAATGTAAATGTTAGTTTCATTTCTCTTGGTTCTGCATAGTTTCTGGGGGGAGGGGAGGCAGGCCTGAAAGAATTCAATAACACTAAGATTTAGTCCTCAGTGTTTCACCAGCCAAGCCTGAGGTCTCAATTCAAACGTTTAAAGGTACATAGGATCATTTGCTTTTCTTGTGTTTTTTGTTTTATTTGAAGTCACAAAAAATTAAGAAGAGTCCATAACAACTAACCTGTTGAACCTTGTGCTCCGTGGATATTTTAGATTTTGAGAAAGCAGAAAACCTATGGACTATTTTTGGGTGTGTCGTTACTGGATTCGGTTGCAACCACACATTGAGACCACATTCAATGATAGTTTTCTTCCATACGATACCATTTTAGGCAGAGTAATTTCGCAGGTTAATTTATACCAGTCCCGTCTTCACATTTAGAAAGTTGTGTTTATAAAATCGACAGTTACTTCTCCGTGTAATTGCAAATGATCCTACATGCCGTTAAAGTAGAGACTTTCTCCAACATTCTGCACAGGAGAGCGAAACCAAGCGATTTAATGTTAAGCCTAACACCAAATTGGTCCCACTTAAAACCCCCAAAATGGATTACATTTAGTAGTCTGGTGGCATGAGTGTGGGCAGATTGTGCTGAAAGAGAGTCCAGCTACCAAATGTTTGCTCTCGATACCCTTTGCTCATGCATGTCTGTGAAAGTATTGGACTCATGACCGTGAAAGTATTGGACTGGTCGTGTTAGTGCATGTTTCACTTTCATTAAGTTCTAAGACTCTCGGTACACTGTTGAGAGTTCTAAATTTTAAGACAAATGTACATTTTCTGCTTTGGACAGACACCAGTAATTCCCAATAGACCTGCGGGTGTCTCAAAGGTTGGTCTTCATTATTTAATCTAATCTAATAACAATACATGTACACGTACAAAAGGTCTAGAGTTACCCATGCCTATCTGAGCGATACAAAACCATTTTGACTCTACCTTTACGCTTAAGGTCCATACAACTTTGGTACTGAAGCATTCCACACACACCCAGCAGAGTGCAGGCTTTCTTATACTAACTTTATTATCTGACATGCCCTAAATTTATAGTGCAAAGAGTTTGTACTTGCCAGTAAATTACCAAACGGAGACCTGTAATTTTATATGGTGCTATGTGTTTATGCAAGTGTACATGTTCTTGGCTGCCACTAACATAAGCAGTCCTACCAGGATTGTGTTGATGATCTTTGGCAAAAATTGGATTCCAGTAACACGAATATGTACTGCGTAATTTCCTAACCAGATTTTTTTTTTTAATTTGAAAACCCTCATACCCAAAGAAGTATAAGTCTGAATTATGGTTTTTGTATTAAGAAGGGTAATGTGACGCAGTCTTACAACATAAACACAGTTTTGGGATTGAGTTTTCACTGGGCTGATTTTTTTCAGCTGTGGAGGTGAATAAGGACTCTGTGAAAAGTACATGTAAACTACCTAATCAAAACATGACATTTTAAGATTCGTTGGACACTGCACAGTGCCTTGCAACAGAGCACGTTGGGAAGTCATCGGGGCCCACCTGTACCTTATGGTAACTCACTGAATTTTGCGATAGGGTAATTTTGAGAAGTTTTAGGGGAATGGATTTCCCCGATAGTGCTCACTTTTTTGCAATAGTTACCAAACACATTAAGGCCTCTTGACTGACCTGAAACAGCAGTGGAACCAAAAAGGCCAGTGTCGGTAACGTAAATGTGCTGCTTCTCCTCTGAATAATGTGGACTTTTGTTGTGGAATGTTGTGGAATGAGCCAGTTAGTTCACATTCCTCATTCAATTTTTTTTTTATCTTTGCGATAACTGTGACTTCCAAAGCAATGGGGAAAAGAAAATCTAAACTACTTAATGTAAATGCATTTCCCTGTAATAACTCTAATTTTGATAAGTACATTTTTATGCTTCAATTTAATTTGTAAAAAAAAAGACTTCTTCTCACCTCACTGCATATGTCAAGGGCATCACTTAAAAGTGAAATCTTGAATGGGTCATATAATTTTATTTTATCATTTTTTTTTATTTTACGGCTGACACATTTGTTGACATTCACTCACCAAGGTTCATATGTATAAGTTGTTCACATGTTGGTCTCTATTGATTATTTATTGTACGCCATTGTCTTTGAATGATTGCAGCACTCTGAAGTTATACAACTTGAGAACACTAGCATTCTTAAGGGAATCTCAGATAAGAGCTGGGACCAATTTTAAATGTTGTATTGACAGGACCGTTTGGAAAGTCTGTTGACGGGTTTGTCATCGTAACACACTTCACTTCGTCTCCTTGCAAGGAAAACATTGAGTTGGTTGTTTGTATAAATGTTTTCTATTCTTTGTGATTCAGGGAGACCCAAACATCATGAAAAAAAGCCGTGGATTTCTAATAGAGCTATAAAAACCAGAACATATCCCCGGTACATTGTAAAAGTTCTATGAAATTTGGTATGAACAGAAACTCCCCCGGAATGTGGAATTTGCAAATTTAGCGAATTGAAAGTCCTGGACCACTTCCTTTCGCAATCTGTTTGTCAGTAATTAAATATATATCTATAACATGCAGGCCACACTGCATTCAGCAATCCATGGCCTTTTGAATCTATTATGCAAGATTCTTTTCCAACTTTAATCAAACTCGCCATCTCCAATACTCTTTGCTGATAGCCCATGGTCTGACTTCGGATTGATGACCATGCCATCTACCCCAAATCCCCCTCAAAATCTCTCGATTGGAAGCCAATGATAATTCTGAAGGAATTAATTCACTTTTTAAACTTCTTATGGAAAGTGAAATATTATTTACTTCAAATACAGACAATCTTTCACAGCAGAATTTGCAAATGGCCATTACATAATGCAGGGAGCTTAGGTTATAGTAAGTGAACACATGCCAATATTACATGTATGTTTAATTTTTGAAAAGTGCCTGGGATCCAGACAACTCACCCGCCTTGCTTTTGTTATTAAAAAAAGCATGGAGCCAAACTCTCTGATTTCTTAACAGAGGCTGCTTGAACTGTAACTTGGTTAATAAACATGAACCTCTTTTATTCTATGATCCGATGTTCCAATTCTGCTCTGTAAGCTTCAAGAGTCAGAATATACAATGTTCTTGGTTGAGAGTTTAACTCGGAAGTTGCAGAAACACCAATGTGAAGTGGGATATCTCTGATAGAGAGGTGGTTTACATCCCGATGATGGTCTGAGTCTACTAGAGCAGATTTGAGCGAGGACTGTGGTTAACCATAGATGGACTAGCTACACTCGAACGCAGGATGGTTGGACTACCTTAGTCGACTATTTGGAACCAGAGCCCAGAGTCACTTTCCTGGATGAAGTGTTGAGTTGACATCTGTTGAGTAAACATCTGTGGTTCATCTCAGTACCACCTCTCTTTTCAGGGATAAGCATTTCAGATGGTGTAGCTCTTGACAGCAGACAATCCCTGGAGATGCAAACCCTTCAGTCTGGCGCAAGTAGAGTTTTGATAACTTGTAACACACTTACACAGGCTTGATGAGAGCAGCTGCCAGTGTCCTTAGTTTGCATTTTTCTGGCTTAGATTGCAAGCAGCAGCAGAGTTGGAGCATCTTTGCTTTAGGATGGTTGTTGGTACTTTTCTCATTCTCATAGACGGGTCGTCATTATTCTCACTGGTTGCAGATACATGTAGTGCTGCCAAGACATTTACTCAGTTACACAAAGATCTGGTAAACACGTTACAGAACCTGTGTGTTAAGTACATTTGCTTTCTTCTTCCACGTCTTACCCTAGCCAAATCTGATTGAAGCACCTCACGCATTGAAACTTAGTTCGTTAGACAGGTGCACTGTTTCCTATCTTCATATTGACTGATAGCACAGGACACATGGTACTAGTCTCAAGTCCTAGCCAGAAGCAGCAACCATTTGAAATGGCTTCAGTTTTGACTCTGGCTTCGACTTGGGACTGGCACCCAGACAATGTTATGTTCTCATGGAATGAGACATTGCAATTACTAGGCACCTGCCTGAGAAACCGAGCCATAGCCTGAGCTGCTTCTTTCAGAATGGTCCCACATTATGAAGAAGGTGTCTGCATTCAGCGGTGCGAAGGGTTTTTAAAATGCATCTCTGACTGCCAACTTTTTTGTTTAATATATTGGTAACTTGTGCAAATGGAGGACTGTTGGTTCCCCCTAGAGGATATTAAAACAGTCACTGATATTCGCAGAAAAAAAGTCCAGTCGAGTCTTGTGTTTATTGTGTGTTTTGTAACAGTCTCGTAGTAGTTTGCATTGACTTCAACAGAGGTCCATCCCTTCCCTTCTTGACTTTTATTCAGATTTGTTCTTGAATAGTAAGAAACCTGGTCTCAAGAATTACTTAACAATGAGGGATACAATGTACTACATGTACAACAAAATCGTGACATTGAGTGTGCCTGTACAACTTAGTCAATTTGTGGTGTTTGAATGCTATCACTGACCTACCAACAGTCAGTATATGAAAAGGAAACACAGATAGGCCTACCAGATATTCAGCATGCTTTTTTATGAAGCGTGCCTTTTTTTTCTCGTCCCGGTAAGTGATAACAGAAATGTTGCAGCAAATGTGTTAAAAGCTTTTTGATTTACTGTGGCATGTGAAGTGTCGAGGTTACCTCTAAGCCTTGCCATGCTGTGGCTTCAAGACTTTCCATTCATCTTTGAGATTCATGTTAATGATTAGCATGGAAAACAGTGCCTACAACTATTATCTGTGGAGCTCAAAAGGTGAGTACATGTAGACATATTGCTGATATAAATAGCATACATGTACATTTTGTGTGTACATACTATTTCTAAAATAACTACTTGTTAACAAAGGTCTTCATGCTGTGTACAAGTCCATGTTCCAGATCTTGATCATTGATATAACCATTGCTTGATTGCCCTGGAGCCATTTTGATCGCGGGCAGTGATCCAGCAGATCATTGGTTTCAAGATCTAGATTGTTTGTATGAAGATGTAGATCACTGGTATCTAGGAATAGATCACTAGTGTCAAGATAAAGATCATTTGTTTCAAGATACAAATCAAGATACAAATCACTGGTATCATGATACACATCACTGGTATTAAAGGTATAGATCGCTTGTATCAAGGCATGGATCATTTTTATTTATAGATCACTACTGGTGCCAAGATAAAGATTATAGTATCAAGATACAAACCGCTGGTATCAAGATATACATGTAGATCATTGGTATCGTGATATAGATCACTGGTATCAAGATATAGATCACTGGTATCAAGATATTGATCACTGGTATCAAAATATAGATATTTGATATCAAGGTATAGATATTTGATATCAAGGTACAGATCATAGTTTCCCTTTCCCGTACTGCACTGGTAGACAGTTTCATTTCCCATGATTGGTTCAACAGGTTAGAGGAGCACTGCTGATCCATGACTCTTTCAAAGGATGGAGATGCTCCATGAAGGCAAGGCAGGTAAGGTATATCCAAAGTGTAAATATTTGTGGAATTTTGGGAAATGGAAAAGTTTGAACGTGAATTCTTGCTCTGCCATATTTTGTACATGTACATGTACATTGGTTTCGTTTGGTTCGTTTAGGGCTATTTAGTGATACCAATTTAAACAGAAAACAAGTGGAGTGAACCATTTGCGTTTAGGGGCCATCTTTGAGGCTGAGTGGGCTAACGTCACACATACTGGAATTTGTATCCTTGTGGAGACATTTCTTTGTTCTCGTGTAGTAAAGTTTTCGAGTTTGAAAGTGCAGTTTCAAAATGCTCTTATTTTAACCAGAATTAATGTCCTTGGCTGAAATTCGGACTTGATATCCCTTTTTTAAAACCCTTCCATTTGCGACACATCAACATACCTTGGAAATTCCTAGTTTTTGAGTAAAGTCCATATACATGTATCTCTTTCGTGATAACCTTGTGGAGACGTATTCATCTATGGAAATTGCCCTGTGGAGACATATACAATCTTTTGTTTCCTATTGTGTGCATGTCTCCAGAGGGTACGGTGTATCAGATCAAAGGCACAAGAGTTCTGCTCGTGTGTATGTGGCACAAAAGCACACACCTTAAATATAGCTGCAATGCAAAGGATCTTGGTTAAAGATTCAACTCATTTCATTGAATCTTTAACTGCACTTTCAAACTCGAAAACTGTAATAAGTTGCCTTTGGTACTCTAGTGACAAGTTAGGGTCAGTTAGGTCACATCATTATGTAGCTCAGTCACTAAGTGGTTTAACTAACCTGAAGAGTCTGACAGATACGGAACTTGTATTCATGAAGGATAGATCCAATAAGTATCCCAGCAGCTTCTGCGAACTGATGACCCAAGCATCAGCCTTTTGAAGGATGAGGAGAGGGAATCTGCTTTTTAGTGGGGCAGATAGGGGACATATTATTTGGGGGAATTGTGCCTTTGATGAAACAAGCATGGCATTTGGCACACAGCCTGAGGGCACGTCCCCCCCCCCCCCCACTAATTCCAAGTGCCCCCGCCCCACGTGCCCGCCCCACCCAAAAGTTTGCCGCTTGCCAAGGAAGTGTCGATTTAAAGAACTTTTGTGAGTTATTTAATCGAAGAGGAACCTAGATTACTATTTTTGACTTTTTAACCGAACAACTTTATCATGAAATGTTAATACATTATCACGAGCGCCCTCTAGCGTTAAAAGAGATCCTTTCCCCCCCCCCCTCCAGAAATTTGGGGAAACGGTTGTTGGGTCCACCCTTGGTGTCCCCTCCTAAAATAATGGTGCCCTCTACCACCCCCCCCCCCCCCACTACTGGAAAAAACTGGCTACGCCACTGCCCTCCACTCTCTTCTTTCTAATATTGCTGTAATCTTGGAATCCATTGTTGCAACAAAACACGGGCACCAGTATTTCTGTATATTGGACGGATGGAACACTCAAAATCCACCTGTGTCCACCCAAAAAGCGTTTAAAATCTCATTAATTCTATCGGACCTCATGAACACAACGAAAACAATCGACCCATTTCCCCACATGGTTTACCCAAGACCCATTGTATCTTGTAGATGGCTTGTATGTCGTTGCCTAAATCTCTCTTTAAAAAAAAAAAGTCCGGGGGACACATCACATCAAACATACAGTTGGATAAATCGTATACCCAACCAAATTGAACAAAAAATCAGAACACAACTCCAGAAATCACAGATGACTTATTTATTTCAAGATTGACTCCACAAAAGCTACCAACGCAGAAAAAAAACAATCCAGTATTGACTTTGCTTATAAAATGGGTCAGTTTTGGTAACACAAATAAGTTTACATTTCCTAAGTCAACTATACAGAAGTCACACTCATTATCTCTCGATGGGTTGCAGTGTATCTCTCTGTTCAGGGGCAAAGTACCGATTATTGGCGTTTACCTTACACTGGTTAGTCTGTTTGCAAGGCACTTGAACTCGTTGGTGCAAACAGAACAATTGTCAACATGGCCTGTCAGGGACTTGCAGCTTGCCATGCACTTTTAAGCTGTGAACTTTAGCATTCATTCATTCTTGTTAGCAGTTTTGTATGTCCAATTGGCTATGCAGGGTGATTACAAAAACCGAAACCCAAATGTCGGGACTTTTGTTTTAGTGAAGTTCTGCAAGTAGCACTTTCAAAATCTAGGATATGAAAGCCCAATTCATAAGCTTTCTTTTAGTACAAGAATTATTGAAATCACTCACGTACTTTTCAAGTTACGGAATTTTAAACACAACCATCGTTTTAAAGTTCTGTCCACGAATCACAAAAAGGTTAGTGTTCTTTCAGCAAAACGAAAAAAAGGATGTGTGTGAAGTATTTTCGTTTTGCTGAAAGAACACACACTTTTTTTGTGATTCGTGGACAGAACTTTAAAACGGTGATTGTTTTTAAAATTCCGTAACTTAAAAAGAACATGAGTGATTGAGTGATTCTTGTACGAAACGAAAGCTTATGAATTGGGCTTTCATATCCTAGATTTTGAAATTGCTACATACAGAATTCCACTGAAGCAATAGTCCTGACATTTGGGTTTCGTTTTTTTTTTTTTACTCACCCTGTAGATTCGACTTGAATCTGACTCAAACAAGTTCAATGCCACATGTATATGAATGCAAGAAAATGTTGCAATTGTTCTCTTTCCTGAATTAAAACACTCAGGAAAGTGATGGGATGTTTTTTTATCATGATTTTTTTTTTCAACTTTAAAGGTTGAGGCTGCCTCGTTTTCCTCATATACATTTGTCAAAAGGAAAAGGCTGTCATTTGAAGGAATATGTAAATGAAGGTTATTAATTTTAAGCGTAACGCAGATAAAATGAAAAGTAAAAAGTAGGCCCTCTGAGTAAAAAGTTGGTGCAACTAATAAAAGAAAAGGATAAAATGAAACTGTACAAAATACTGGAATATCACCTCGTTTGTTGGAGTATCCTAACTTACTAGCAATATACTTGGTAAATTTGTTGGAACTGATTAATTCTTTCCTTTCATTTGGTGTAAGCTTCACAGTGACTGTTATGCGTTAAACAAAAGATGGCACAATTGAAATTTCCAAAAGCACTTATTTCACCAAGTGAAGTAAAACGTAAATCATATGAAATTTTACAAATACTGTATATATGCTTGACAAATTAACTCCCACCCCAAATGATCTCCCATCACAACCCCCACCCCCCCCCAAAAAAAATACGTGTTTAATTATTACGTTTATTAATTTTACTATTAATGTTCAATTTGGAATAACCTGTCATCGTGTTCTGAACGTTACTCAGAATCAGGTTGTGCTGTTTAAATATAACGGTGTTAAACACTACATACTTTCAGACATCAAATAAAACTTCAAAGACTTAATGCTCAAGTGTACATGTATATATTTTTAGCAGGATTAAGATAAACAAGCAGATAATATTTCAATAAAATATATCAATTATGGATTATAAGGCTAAGTAGGTTTTTAGTATTTAAAGCTAAACTTTTGTACTGTTACTAGTTTTGTGAAGTTATTATATTTACAATATTAGAATGAAGAACAAAATAGATATTATAATATTTTTTCAGCTGTGTTATTCTTTTTGCAAAAATACTTCGATTTTAAATAGTAAGTTGAGGTATTTTTCTCGTACTCGGAAGTACAAGTACTCGTACTCGGAAGTACAAGTACTCGTACTCGGAGACCTGTACTTGTACTCGGAAGTACTCGTACTCGTACTCGG